AGTTGTGATCGGTCGGGTCTGCATATATATATATATCAGGGTTTCCGTTAGCCGGTAATTACTGTTCTATTTCGTCCCTACTGACCGCCAGAGGCGGTGCTTTAGCACTGGATGTGTCCATCGCGCGCATGCGCAGCTCGAGTACCAATACCAACAAAGTCACCTGTGACCCACGTGACACCGGCTATATCAGCCGGTGTCGTCAGTGGATCTGTTCCTTTCATCTTCTCGCTGTGCGAGAGTACCTTGGCTACATTTTTTGTAGCCTACAGCGTTCGTTCGGTTGGAATATTTGTTAAGGATTCTCTGCAAACAGCTGGCTGCGTGCAGCTTCGCGACTCATCCAGTCGGGGCCGCGGGTTTACCCGTCCTCCAGGAGCTGTGGCTGGCTGCGCAGAGACTTCGTTCGGACAGGTTGGTGTCGGCTTGGTTGGTGATGGCAGTGTTTTCGCTCCCTCTCCCAACCTAGTTGTCCCGTTACTGTCTGTTTTGCTTTTTGGGCTTCAACTTTTATGGTGACGGAGGTGTTTCCGCTCCCTCTCCCAGGAGTTGCCCTTGCTGTGCTTTTGTACTTATTCTGCGAACTTCATTAGCATTGAGCTAGTTAGCAGTAGCGCTGCAGCCACTCGGCTGACGCCGTGTTAAGCACCGGAGTTTCCCGTGCTGTTTTTTCTTTAAAAGCCAGTTTCCGGTCTTAGCTTGTGTAAAGCTTCTTGATTTGGGGTGTAGCTACATCCCCTTTGTTTGTTCGGCGAGTAGCAGCACCGCTCTACTCTTCCCGTTCAGCAGGTAGGCATTCGTCTTTAATTTAGCCAGTGAAGGTAGTGCTCTCGCCCCCGCTCCTGGTAGACGCCAAACTACCTTGTTTATTCCTTTAAGCAGGTAGCTGGTGAAGGTTGTGCTCTCGCACCCACTCCCGGTTACGCTGCATCTGGCACTCGTGTTTAATTTAACCAGTGAAGGCAGTGTTCTCGCCCCCGCTCCTGGTAGACGCTAAACTGCCTTGTTTATTCCTTTAAGCAGGTAGCTGGTGAAGGCTGTGCTCTCGCACCCGCTCCCGGTTACGCTGCATCTGGCACTCGTGTTTAATTTAACCAGTGAAGGCAGTGTTCTCGCCCCCGCTCCTGGTAGACGCTAAACTGCCTTGTTTATTCCTTTAAGCAGGTAGCTGGTGAAGGCTGTGCTCTCGCACCCGCTCCCGGTTACGCTGCATCTGGCACTCGTGTTTAATTTAACCAGTGAAGGCAGTGTTCTCGCCCCTGCTCCTGGTAGACGCTAAACTGCCTTGTTTATTCCTTTAAGCAGGTAGCTGGTGAAAGCTGTGCTCTCGCACCCGCTCCCGGTTACACTGCATCTGGCACTCGTGTTTAATTTAACCAGTGAAGGCAGTGTTCTCGCCCCCGCTCCTGGTAGACGCTAAACGGCCTCGTTTATTCCGTTGAGCAGGTAGCTGGTGAAGGCTGTGTTCCCGCACCCGCTCCCGGTTACGCTGCATCAGGCATTTGTCTTAAATTAACCAGTGAAGGCAGTGTTCTCGCCCCCGCTCCTGGTAGACGCTAAACTGCCTCGTTTATTCCGTTGAGCAGGTAGCTGGTGAAGGCTGTGTTCCCGCACCCGCTCCCGGTTATGCTGCATCTGGCATTTGTCTTAAATTAACCAGTGAAGGCAGTGTTCTCGCCCCCGCTCCTGGTAAACGCTAAATTGCCCGGTTCCCGTTAAGCAGGTAGCTGGTGAAGGCTGTGTTCCCGCACCCGCTCCCGGTTACGCTGCATCTGGCACTCGCCTCTAGCTCAACCAGTGAAGGCAGTGTTCTCGCCCCCGCTCCTGGTAAACTGCCTTATTTATTAACCCAGCTAGGTGAAGGCAGTGCTCTCGCTCCCGCTCCCTCTGCCGGTAACGTGGGTATACTTACATCCCTCTTTCTGTTTGGCGAGTAGCGGCGCGGCTCTACTCTTTCTGTGAAGCAGGTAGCTGGTGAAGGCTGTGTTCTCGCACCCGCTCCCGGCTACGCTGCGTCTGGCTACCTACAGAATGGCTCATGCATGTAGCGCCTGTATGGCTTCTCTTGAGGCCGAGGACGGCCATGACCGCTGCCCCTCTTGCCTCGGCCTCGAGCATCTAAGGGAGGCTCTCACGGTAGGGGCCTGCATGAACTGTAGCTGCATGCCCCGGGCACTCAGAATGGCTAGACTCACGGAGGTGGAACAGCTGGCGGCAGCCAACGGACACCTCTCTTGGTCACATCCTCCTCCAGATCAGTTCGGCCGTCCCCGGCGACTTGAGGGAGCGATGGCCATGGGTGCACCCCCCAATAGGAGGACTAGAAACAGGCTGTCCTCTAAAGTGGATCAGCTGGCTACCGACATGGACACAATGAAGTCGCTCCTCTTGGCCCTTCAGCCAGGGCCCGGTATAGGTGCTGCTAGTGTGCCGCCTGCCCCTCCTTCGGTTGCCGCCCCTCCTTCGGTTGCCGCCCCTCCTTCGGTTGCCGCACCTCTGTATGAGGATGCCTTGTCGCTAGCGGCTTCGGCTAACCTCTTCAATGAAGAGACGGAGGACAAGGTCCCGCTCGAGGAGGCTTCCCTCTCCTCTGCTCAGGGGTCTCGGCAGGGCGTGGATGACGACTCCATGGCGGCCATTATTCGTACGGCCCTGGCGCACCTGCAGATTCCGGTTCCGCAGGCCGACTTAGTTCAGGCTAGTGCCTTCTTCAGGCGTAGCCCAGCCCCTGTCCCCCTCACCGTTCCTCCTTCAGAGGAGTACCTGAGGGAGCTCCAGGCATGCTGGAGGAACACCAGGGCCCTCGGCCACGCTGGCTCCGATGCCCGGACCTTGGCTGCCATGCAGGACCCGGCGAGGGTGGGGCTGGGTGGCATGCCACCCATTGAGCCTGCCATCGCCTCCCTGATTCTGGCTCCTGACGAGGCTCTAAGGCCTGTGGTCAGGTGCCCTCAGCCTCAGTGCAGGGTCACAGATGGGCTGCTCTGTAGGGCCTACGACGCAGCAGCACGCATGGGTCGTATCGGGAACTCCCTCTCCCATCTAATGCTGGCCGTCTCCGCCTCGCTGCAGCAGGCTCCGGCCGAGCCTTCTTTGCTGGGCCTCAGTGATGCATCACTGCAGGCCTTTGCCCTAATGACGAGGGAATTGGGACGAGTTATGTCCTTTCTGGTACAGCCTCGTCGCCAGGTTTGGCTGGCTCAGTCACCACTGACGGAGACATGTAGGAGAGTCCTCCGTAGCGTACCAGTCGTGCCAGGGGAGCTGTTTGGGTCAGCTGCCCTGGAGGCGCTGGAGCGCGCTGCCCAAGCTAGGCAGACCAGGCAGCAGCTCTCGGGTCTTCGCAGACCCGTGGCCACTCCCAGCAGGCCCAGGGGCCGCTCTAGCAGCCGCACTCAGCCACCGGCTTACAGGGGTGGTCTGCAGAGGTCCCAGCGGCCCACTCAACCGGCCGATGGCTTTCGTGCCCCAGGTCGCCTGGCTTCCAGGCGGCCTCGTGCTTCAGAGCCTTACCGGCGCCCCCCAGGGGGCCCCAGGGGCCGGGGGGCTAGGCCCTGAAGTCTCGAGGCCGGTCGTCGGCTGTTTTTCCCAGCAGCAGCTCAGCTACTGGGCTGCCTGTACTTCCGACCCTTGGGTGATTTCCACCCTAACCCAGGGCTACGAATTGCAGTTCCGACGCCGGCCCCTAGCCTTCGGCCGGGTCAGTATGACAGTTTTCAACGACCCGGCGAAGGCCTTAGCTCTGGCCCAAGAGTTGTCCGTCCTCTTGGCCAAGGGCGCAATCGAGCCAGTGGACCCCCTGCTTCAGGGCGGGGGGGTTCTACTCGGCGTACTTTCTTGTGAGTAAGAAAGTTGGCGGATTCCGTCCAGTTCTGGACCTCAGAGGAATCAACAGATTCTTGAGGGTACTACCCTTCCATATGCTAACCACAGCAGACACCCTTCGTGTTGTCACACAGGGGGAGTGGTTCACAACCGTGGACTTGAAGGACGCCTACTTCCACGTGCCAATTGCATCCCATCACCGAAAGTTCTTGAGGTTCGCCTTTCAGGGCCGACATTATCAGTTCTGGGTGCTTCCCTTTGGTCTCTCCCTCTCTCCAAGGGTGTTCACCAGGGTTGTAGCGGCAGCGCTCGCTCCCCTGCAGGCACAGGGCATGAAGGTCCGGCCATATCTGGACGACTGGCTAGTTTGCGCGCCGTCCCGGGCCCAAGTGGCCCAGGATACGGCGCACCTCTCATCCCATGTAGCCCGGTTGGGCCTAACAGTGAACGCCGGGAAGAGTTGCCTGGACCCTTCCCAACAGGTCACTTACCTGGGGATGGTCCTAGACTCGGTCGCCATGAGGGCCTACTTGACACCTCGTCGTGTGGACGACATTTCCCACCATCTTCGCATCTTCAGACTGGGCAAGAGGGTGCCTTACATCCAGTTCCTCCGGCTCTTAGGCAGACTGACAGCTGCCTCAGCCGTTGTGCCCTTGGGCATGCTATCACTGCGCCCCATGCAGATGTGGCTGAACAACTTTCGCTTGGACGCCAAACGGCACAGGCACAAGAGAGTCAGGGTGTCTCAGCGGTGCCTCCACTCTCTGTCCCGCTGGAGGAACAGGGCCTATCTTCTGATGGGTGTGCCTATGGGCGCCATCCCATCCCGCCGGGAGACGGTCACTGTGGATGCATGTCTCTCGGGGTGGGGTGCGGTGTGGCAGGGCAGGACTGTGCAGGGGCAGTGGTCTGCCCAGGAAGGTGCACACCACATCAATGTGCTGGAGCTGCGGGCTGTGTTGCTCGCACTCATGCACTTTTTACCCCAACTGGCGTGCAGGCATGTGCTCATTCGTTCGGACAACATGTCCGCCGTTGCCCAAATCAACCACCAGGGGGGCACCAGGTCCACACAGCTGCTCCGTGTTTCACAGAGCCTCTTGCCTTGGGCGCTCCCCCGCCTCGCCAGTCTGCAGGCAGTCTTTCTGCCAGGAGACCTGAATCAGGTCGCAGATCACCCAGAGGTGGTGGAGACAATTTGGAGCCTTTTCGGCAGGGCCGAGGTGGACCTCTTTGCCTCAGAAGAGTCGAGGCACTGCCCCCTCTGGTTCTCCTGGACGGAGGTGACCAGCCCGTTGGGTCAGGATGCCCTGGCGCACGACTGGCCGGACACTCTCCTGTATGCCTTCCCGCCGCTGCCTCTGATACTGCAGACGCTTCAGAGGGTCCTTACTCAGGGGCACAGGCTCCTTCTGGTCGCCCCCCGCTGGCCGGGGAGAGTCTGGTTCCCACTGCTGCGCAGTCTCTGCTGCAGCCCACCTTGGCGTCTCCCCGACAGGAAGGACCTTCTGTCACAGCTCAAGGGTCAGATCTGGCGTCCCGACTCTCACCGCCTTCAGCTCTGGGTTTGGCCTCTGCAGGGCCCAACCCACTGTTGAGCGGCGTCACGGCATCAGTCAGGGAAACTATCCTGAATGCCAGAGCTCCATCCACTCGGGCACAATATGAGTGCAAATGGAAGCTCTTCTCCCACTGGTGTGTGAGTAAGGCTGAGAATCCGGGGCATTGCTCCGTGGCCACCATTTTGGAGTTCCTGCAGTCCCTTCTGGAGAGTGGACGTTCTCACTCCACTTTGAAGGTGTATATGGCTGCGATCTCTGCCCGACATGTCGGAGTCGATGGCGCCACAGTGGGGTGCCACAGGTTGGTGTCCCTCTTTCTAAGAGGGGCTCTACGGCAGCGTCCCCCTAGCACCCCAAGGGCCCCGGCTTGGGACCTGCCCCTAGTGCTGAATGCCCTATCATCTCCTCCCTTCGAGCCCCTGGCCCAGGTCGGGCTTAAGTGGCTGTCCCTGAAGGCAGCATTTCTGCTTGCCGTAACCTCAGGGAAGCGAGTCGGAGAGCTTCATGCCCTCTCCGTAAGCAGTACATGCCTGAGGTGGAACTCCGATGACTCGGGCGTTACCCTCTGGCCGAATGTGGCGTTCCTGCCCAAGGTGCTTCCACTAGCCCACTCCAATCGGCCTATCCAGCTGGCACGCTTTAACATTCCACAGGAGAGCGGCACACCTGAGTTGCTGTGCCCTGTGCGTGCCCTGAGGGCGTATATTGATGCTACAGCCGGTATACGGCAGTCAGAGCAGCTCTTCGTTTGCCATGGCGGCACTAAGAAGGGTCGTGCTCTCTCTAAGCAACGGCTGTCCCACTGGGTGGTTGATACCATCACACATGCCTATGGGGCCAGTGGCCGCCCCCTGCCATCAGGGGTGAGATGCCACTCTACAAGAAGCATCTCAACATCGTGGGCTGCCCTAAGAAGGGTGCCCCTGGAGACCATCTGTGCCGCGGCATCATGGGCGTCTTCTGGCACATTCTCCAGGTTCTACCGAGTCAATGTCGCCACTCCTCACCCTCTGGGTGTGGTCCTGTTGCCAAGCTCCGCTGCTTCCAGCTAGGTGAGTAAGTGCTTGGATTCTTCATGACATGGTTGGTATAGGTCATCCAGTGCTAAAGCACCGCCTCTGGCGGTCAGTAGGGACGAAATAGAACGATAGTTACGGCTGTAACTACGGTTCTATGAGTCCCGGATGACCGCCAGAGTATCCTGTCACTCAGAATTCTTGTGTGCTCGCGAGAAGATTCTGGGAACAGATCCACTGACGACACCGGCTGATATAGCCGGTGTCACGTGGGTCACAGGTGACTTTGTTGGTATTGGTACTCGAGCTGCGCATGCGCGCGATGGACACATCCAGTGCTAAAGCACCGCCTCTGGTGGTCATCCGGGACTCATAGAACCGTAGTTACAGCCGTAACTATCGTTTTTTAGCTGGTAAAATTGAATAAAAACCGGTAAATTCAAAACATGCCGGTCAAAATGTCCGATGCTCCGATCGATCGGCCGCAGATCCGATCTTCACTCTTAATAGTTTGATCGGTGCTCTCTATAAAGGCCGATCAGGAGAGCTGGATCTGATCGATATGGACATAAACGCGAGTGAAGTGTAACCGGATGCGTGAGAGAGAGATCAGATCAGCTGCTGCATAATCACCTGAAGCCCCGCCCACTGTTTAGCGTGCTGCATGAGAAACTGACGTGCTGTCAGGAGAGAGGGAGAGAGGGAGGATCCGTTTCTCCCGTGTTATTATCCAAAGTTAATGTACACTTTTGAATAATGTACTTCATCTACTACAAGTAGTTTCTTTGAATGTAATAATTATGTTGTTTGTTGTTTGTGGAATCATTTATTGAAAAATGAATCTAATCTCGATCTGTTACGATTATAAACTGAAGCAATATAAAAATTACTCCCATTAACTGAGTTTTAAACATCAGCATATCCGGTCCTAGTCCGGTGATTACCTGCTAACGGAAACTCTGCTACACAACTCTTATTATTATTATTATTATTATTGAAACATGACCGGTAAGTTTCAAATTTGTCCGGTAAAATAAATTCTGTTCGGACATTTGACCGGCGAGAAAAATTCCTAGCGGAAACCCTGATATATATATGTATATGTATATATATATATATATATATATATATATATATGTGTGTGTGTGTATATATATATATATGTATATTAGGGGTGTAACGGTACACGTACCTGTACCGAAATTATTCGGTACGGGCCCTTCGGTTCGGTACAGGTGTGTACCGAAGTGTACCGAACGAATATAACGTTAAACGTAAAAAATTGAGAACGTGAATAACTTTTTGGAAGTAATCTCAGGTGCTGCGTCGCAGCATTCAGAGTAATTTGCTCACATTGGGTTCAACGCGTCATAGAGCGAGCAAGTAATTTCATTGGATGAGAGGCATACTATGAGAGCTGGTCAGAGGGATGCGTTCATATGTAGTCAGTAATTTGAGGAACTGTCAAAAATTAATGGCGAACGCAGATAAAGTTGAGCTCGAAAATCCTCCAGCATCATTGAAGTCTCCGGTTTGGGAACATTTTGGTTTCGCAGTTACGTACAAGGATGACGGACAAAGACAGGTGGACCGAACCAAAGCTGTTTGTCGGCATTGTTCAACTAAAATTGGTTACGCGGCTGGCAATACATCAAACTTGCACACTCTTGAAAAGGCATCACCCGAACGTGAATATCACCGGTACCAAAAGAAAAAAGACTGAAGTGCAAACCCAACTCCCGCTAGCATTTAAGCCTCCGCCACTCGCAAAAAGATCAGACCGAGCCAAAGCTATTACAAATGCCAAATATCCTTATGTTGCCATGTTAGCAATGCGCTACCTGGCTGTATCTGCTACCTCTGTCCCTAGCGAGAGGGTTTTCTCCACATCAGGAGACATTGTTAGTGCCAGCAGATCTGCCCTTTCGGCAAGCAATGTGGACAAGTTAATTTTTATTTAAAAAAACATGAAAATACAATGACAAGCAAGTCCTAATGTCAAACTGGCTGCTTAGTTGCTAGTACAGTAGGCTACAGTTCAAATACAGATTATTTCAGTTCATCGAAATGCTGCACCTTAATGTTCATTTTATTATATTTTGTATTTGAGTGAATATTCCCAGTTTAATAATAATTAAAAACCCAAAACTAATAGTTTATGTTTTGTGTTTTGTGAAAAAAAATTCTGCTGTACCGAAAACGTACCGAACCGAACCGTGACCAAAAAACCGAGGTACGTACCGAACCGAAATGTTTGTGAACCGTTACACCCCTAATGTATATATATATATGTGCTCCATCTTAATCAAAAGTCAGAATCCAAATTAAACATTTTACTGTCTTCCATCAAGAGTTTGTGTTGATACTGTAGAGATGTGTCTGAGGCCTAATGTGTGAATTTAGCCTTACATTGTGTATTGTTAATTCTAATGGCAGTGATTCAATTAGAAAAATACGACCGTCATGACAGAAATTGTCCAACTTGCACCATTTCATCTTGTCATTTAGGTGGAGAAGAGTGCAGATGCTTGGGAGGAAGGAGGCAGTACCTCCTTAGAAGCTGACAGTATGCAGCTGCGGCCTCTCATTGGCACAGTCACATCATTTGATGGAGATGGTGGCTACATAAACCAGACCACATACTTCCCACGCAGCAGCTTATGGGAAGGTACCCATGCTTACTGTACTTCACACGCTACAATTGTGAGCCTCTTGACCCCACAATCATTTTCTTACATTAACTTTGTTGTCCACACCCACTGTGGGTCTCTTAGTCCCATAACCGTCCAGCCTGTCTAACAGATTTTACTGCCATCATTTTACAGTTGATGTTTGGTAAGCTCTCAAACCGAGAGTAGATTTGACAAACCTGCAGCCACACCAATATTTATTAGCACTTGGCTGAAGGCTGATGTTAACTTTCCTGCCTGTTGGCACACTTTTGTATTTTCTCTCTTATTTGTGTCAGGTTATGAGCCAATGAAAGGAGACTGGGTCCAAGCTAAATATTTTGTCAATCCTACCCAATGGACCACCCAGGCTAATTCTGTGGCCCCTTTACGCTACAGCCGCCTAGACCAGGTAATGGCATCATTAAATGTTTTTAACTATACCCACTCAATACAATTTATTCATTTTAGTACTTCAGTTGCATTGTTGAAAGTTGGCATTGTTCCTAACTCTGATGAAGTGGTAATGATTAAATGCTCATTCATGTCTGTACTATCCAATTCTGTTTCACTACTCTTACTTCCTTTGAATAAACGATTATCTCCAGGTGCGTGTGACCAGCGCTTATGGTAAAAATGGAGTGGTGGAGGACAGTGTGTTCTACAACCTGGACTCTCTGCTGCTGCCTGCCCACTACCAGCCATTGCCAGGACATCTGGTCAACCTAGTGATGGTGGAGAGCAGTCAGTCCTTATACAGTTGGAGGGCCCTGTGCATGGCACCCTGCCAGAGGTATTGGATTTAGATTACTATCTTTTTAGGGCTGCAACAACAATTAAAGATTATCCTAAAATGGGGGAAAAAAGGATCTCATGGTGTTCAAATGTCTTGTTTAACACAACAAGGAAGCAGCAAGCTGGAACTTGAGATTTGGTCTACTTTCCCCCACTATTTTAGCTAAATAGATGGCTGAATCGTCTAATTATTTAAAGTTCTTCAGAAGTATAATGGTATTTTCCAGATTAATTCAACTTTTGATAAGGGTGATACAGATGAATATTTTGATGTTTTTCTTCTTTTCTTTTTGTTTCAGTGAGAATATTTCCATTACACGTCTCCCAGGGACTGAACTCCAGAGTCTTGTGGAAAACAAAGGGGGGCTGCATGTATCGGACTATGGCCAGTTTGGGGATCTGATGATTGGCGAGAAGCGAGAGATGGTGTTTTGGATACAGTAAGTGATCGAAGAAAGGAAATATTCAAAGTTAAGAAATATCAAAGCACTAGTTACAAACGCTTATGATTGTCATTTTTTATTGTCCAATACTGTAGTTTAAATCCTCATCATTGGTCTTCTGGTAAACAAATCTCTCAAATCCACCTTTGGCACAATACGCTGCATTTATTACATTGTATCCCTCTCACATCAGAAATAAAGGTTCAGAGACCCACACACTGAAGTTCTGTGACATCGCTGGCTGGGACTCAGAGGGACAGTTCCTCCTGGTTTCTGTCAAAGACTTCAAACCACTGAGACAGAAACAACAGCCTTTGCGAGAAAACGGCGAAGAGTCTCAAAACTGCTCACAGTCTTCAGAAAAACAAGGTGGTTATGCAAAGGAGGTAAAGAAAGAAAATGACGAGGTGCTGAAGGAGACTATCCATTCCCCTGGTGTAAAGAGAGAGGACAGAAATGTGGATATTTCACCAGGAGAGAGGCTGCCTATTGTCTTAGCATGCCAAGCAAAGTAAGTTATTTTTTTGCAACTTAAAAAGTATTAAAAGTTGATAAATCAATTTAGCGAACATTAAGGCTATTAAAAAGTATTAAACGGCATTTTCCAAGGTATTACATTTTGTAGCTTGTTTTCAATAAGTATATAAATGGTCCAAAGAGGTTGTATTCTACAGTCTGCCTGAATGTAATCATTGCGTAGGTGTGTAGTGTGATTCTGTGTAGTTTATTTATGGCATCCCGTTGGATTTGACGTCATCTGCTCAATTCATCGTATTTTAATCGCGATTATGGCTTGCAACGATTACGAAAACAACGTAATCGAAATAAAACGATTATTTTTTTATTATTATTATTACGTTTTTTATTACGTTTTTAAAAAAATAGTTTTTTCAGTTGAGTTATACTTAAAGTTCAGGGTAATCAACTGTTAAAAACATACTGTTCACATTTTTTGGAAGATAAGGAGGAAGGACAATCAATAGTGTATATAGTCAATGTGAGGTAAAGTGTGTCTCCAATGTAACCGGTTAGAACTCAAAGTGGCGAAGAGGTCTTAAAATGTATGGAAAGGGTCTTTAAAAAGGTGTTAAAAGGGATTACATTTGACTTCAGGATTCCTGCATAGATAAATGAAAGAAACCGTTGGAGTAATGGATCAAAAAGACAAAAGTAGAATGGAAAGTCTGTGGAATCTGTCTTGCCATATAAAATAAGCTCTGTTAATTGGACCGTCTCTGTGGAGATTTTTCTTTGAATGTTGTCTGTAAAACTAAATTCCATGTGGGGAATTGCTCAGGAGCCTGGGAAGCTGTGCTGAGATGCTGTTGCTGCACTTCTCCTCTTTCACCATCGGGAGGCGCCTGAAGGTCACAGTGGGGAGTAAAGAGGAGACCCTGCTGCAGCCCTCAGTGCCCTACACTCCTAGAGAAGCAACTCAGGCCTCCTCCACAGTGCCTGCTCAAGTGATAACTATCGCTGCTCCAAAAGACGCACCAAGGTATCACACAATGGATTTTGTTTCTATTGCTGACAAAAAGCATCAAGGCTCAAATGAAACTTCGTAAATATTGTATGCAAGGTGCTCCTGGAAAATAGTTTTGCATTATCTTCTTTTAATTTGTGATTGAATCATCCAACTGCAGGACTACGAAGCGACGCCTGCCAAACTTCCTACCCAACTACCCGCTGCCCCAGGCTCTCAGAGACTGTGTGGATGCTCAGAGGGACGTGCTGGTGGTTCAGCCCTGCTTAGGAGAGGTGAGGAGACATGATGAAGTTAAGCTGGTTATGTAGAATAAGGTAATACAAGTTAAAGATGGAGAGGGTTGGATTAAGCCTGCAGCATACATTTGTTGATTCAGCTTTTGATAATGGTGCGACCAATCTTTTTTTTTGTTGCACTTTTATTGTCATTACACATTACAGGTACTCTGTAACAAAATGGTTTCTCTGCATTTGACCCATCCTAGTGTTAGGAGCAGTGTGCTGCCATTATGAACGGCGCCCGGGGAGTAAGTATCGTTAATGTTTTAACGGTACTACTACTTTTATCGATACCGCTTATCGGTCCGGTCTTTTAACGGTACTCTTATCGGTTCTTTTGGAGAAAAAAATAAGGTAAACTAACTAAACAAATTGTGAACAAAACTAACATTGCTTTTTATTTAAATTAAATACATAATATTTCACATCAAAAGAAACAACAATGTTTTAACAAATCGTATTAAATCATGTGATGACAGAACTGTAAACAGAATAGCTGAAACTTTAACTAAATAAATAACTCAGTTTCCTCTAATCATTAACCCAGGTTTGTATAATTGAGTTAACTCCGTGTGTTGCTGCTAGCATACATAACACCTGACGTGGAAACGTTGCTCCTGGACGGGGATAGAGAGCTACTAGAAAGATAGTTGAAGACGGTGCATTCCTCCGTCTGAATGTGGAGCACTTTTGCTAAATGTTTAGACAAATTGCTCATGCGCCCTTACATGCTAAACACTTATTCCACTTTTGGTAACGAGGATTGTCCACATCGAGACGGGTATAGTTTAACCACACCTCGGAGCGCGTTCTCTCCGCCGTGTGTGTGTGTTGCTGCATGTAGCAGCTGCGTGTGTGTAAACTGCCCCGCCCCCTCGCAAGCAGGCGGGGGAGCGAGATCTCTCGCCTGGATTGGAAAGATCGAAAATACTAAAAAGACGCATTTTGCAGTCTTTTTGCATGTTAGAAACGGAGTTGGCAACACTAAAACTGCAATATAATGTTTGTGTAGCAATAATACGTATACATATAATTTTTACATGTCTCCAGTACAGATAACCGTTAACGTCGGAGCTTAACGGTACCACGGTCTTTAATAATTCAGCCCCGGGGCCCGTTTAATACCGGGGCTCAGTACCCATCCCTACCGGGGAGCAGTGTAGGGAACGGTGCCTTGCTCAGGGACACCTCGGTAGCACTTGGTCTTGACCTTCCAGTTGCCAAGCCAAGTCCCTATGGACTTCGCCACCACCGCCCAATCAATATGTCATCTCTGAATTTGCATCGTAACAAAGCCGTGGGCCCGTAATATAACAGGGATGTTTTTTCCACAGTCACATTATAATGGAATATGAGGGAAAAACGCTTTAGTTTGTCTATATATTTTTTAACCTAATCCAATCGTTGTGGGCCACACTTAACAAGAGGCAGCGGCATTTCCTTTGCTAAATAGATAGCGGAATAGGAGGAGTATCCTTTCGAAATCCACACGGCCAATCGCAGACTTATGCACTTTCCCTTGTGGTGAGACACAGAAGAAAATAGAATTTGAAAAAAATCCCATTTTCCTTCTCCTGCTGTGCCTGCTCAGGTTCTCTCACCATCCAACATGCGTCTGCGTTTCTCCGTCCTTCTCTGGCTGGACGAGCTGCATGCAGAGAGGGAAATTAAAGAACAAACAATCCACGGGGCCCTCCTCAAGAAAGGAGCGGTCTACCTGCACCTAGAGGTGCTTGGGTTGTCCGAAGGCAGACCCAATCTCAATATAGGTGAGGGGCCTTTCTTTATCATTGTTGAACTATTGCTAACGTTATGATTTCCTCTGTGGAACACAAGAAGGGTTTTGAAAAGTTTGCTCTGCAGGGGACAGAATATTACTGAAGAAACCACAGAGTGACGGAGTGGTGATGGAGTATGTTGGTTATGTAACAGAGGTATGGAAATGTTTTATAATCTGAGACATCTTTCATGCGTTATCAAACAGAAATGCTCTTTAGATTTAATCTAATGTTCTGTTTTAACACTCAGATCAATGAAGAGACTGTGAGTTTGAGAGTGAACTCGGAGTTTCAGCGTAGCTACCTCGGGGAGCCACTCGATGTTGAGTTCTCTTACAACAGGTTAGTAAAGAGGATGTGATTTTTATTACATCAAATAAATGTACAAATATTTAACCCAACAATGATGCTTAATGATTATAATACAGGTATGTTGACTGCTTACATCATCAGATTGCCTACGAGACGGTGTCACTACGCACTTGAACACACAAAGCAGTTTTGGAATAGTAAGTTAAGGTTCTTTTCAAATTACTTTAATTCTGGTAGTTTCCTGGCATTTTAGACACCATAAATCAAGTGTATGCAGTACTCTTTGAAAGGTACATTATAAGGCATTTTGAAGAAAGTATCCCCCTGAAATTGATACACTATACTTATGAATAGTGAAATCACTTTCCCTATAAAAAAAGCAGATAATGATTTTGACAATGTTGTTTTCTTCTTCACTATACAAATGATAACAAATCTAATACATTCTTTATCAGTCAATTTAAGAAGATTCTAAGAAAGAAGTGAACTTTTGTGGTCATTATTTCACCAGCAAAGCGATACACTATAAAATCATTCTTTCACGACACGCATTGACATTACCACCAGCTCGCCTCCAGAGGGCGCTGTTTGTACCTCGCATTTCTGCTAGTCCATCTTGGTTTACCCTTCTGTTGTTTTGTATCACAGTAAGATTTCTGTCATTTTCATCCTGTTGTGCAGTTCTCTTCCCCTCTAAAGTGACTGTTCAGACCCATCAGTGGACAGGGAAGTGGAGCGATGAGACGGAGCAAAACAAAGCAACGGGCAATGAGGTGAAAAAATAAAGATTTAAACATATTGTCATTTATTTTCTTGGTTTTGATTTAAGTGTAATTGTATTTCAACACCAGATTCCAACCAAGGAAAATGGAAAGGTTTCCATGGACATGCAGTCAAAGGCCACGCAGACTAAAGGTACATTTAGTGTTTAGTTGGAGTGCTATTCGGGTTTCAATTTCGTTATTCGTTTTTAAAAAAAAATGATTTATTGAAAACTCCAATATCAACGTAAGAGCTTGTGCCTCTTCGGGGGGTGCTAACACTTAACCATAAACGTTATCGTTTACTTTCTCCGTCTTTATATGTAGATATGACTTTTTCTCCGTTAATCTCCATCACGTTGTTTCCATAGCAACAACAACATTCTGTCAATAGCGCTAACTCTCCTTCAAAATAAAAGCATGTCCATACAAAATAGGAAGCCAAGCCAAAATTACACTTTAAGGCCCTGACACACCAAGCAGTCACCAGAGGACTCGCCGACGCTGGCTGTTGCGTCGCGGTGTTCTCCTGCGTCTTGGCCATGTGTCGCACGGGAACACACCGCAAAGACTTCAGTGCATGAGTGGCAATAACTCTCCTTACCAGCAGGCGGCGGTAGTGTGTATTCGTCATTCAAAAGAGGCAACAACCGGAAGACAGAGAAGAAGAACAGACCATGATATAAACAAACAACAAATAGCGTGTGTGTTCCATTTCCCTCTCGTCCATCGAAAACATGTTTCGTGCGGCACTGGAGCTATCAGCCATAAGGGGTTAGCGATAAGAAACAATAACAATGTGCCTACATAACTGTCAGTTGCAGCCCTAGCATTAGTATTGGTTATAGTAACAGCTACAACATTAAAATACTTCTAGGCAGATTGAGGAGGATAATGGGAGAATGAACAGAGGGGCAGAAACATCCATCTGAATAATAATAATAATAATAACTTTATTTGTATCGCACCTTTCATACAGGGGATTGCAGTTCAAAGTGCTTTACATCAGTAAGAAATAAGATATAAAATCAGTGTAAAATAAGCAGCAAGAGCAAAGCATAAAGTGGGATAAAATAATGCAGATATATATATATATATATATATATATATATATATATATATATATATATAGTAATCCCAACAGGCCACCTTGTTTATGGTTTGATTCAGTTTTACATTACATTTATTTGATAACTTCAGTTAACTTTGAAGATTCCGAACACTACAAAATATAATCAAGACATATTTTATCATGTATTATAGTAGAAAGTAGAAATAGTTTGAGTAGTTTTTAGTAGAAATATCCCTTACAATAAAGGCAGTAGCCTATAGTATGCGTGTCATCTCCAATAAATGGCTTCAACCATCCTTTAAACTCAGGGTTTGATTCCCACTCCTTTCTGTACTTTTGTGAATACAGTTTAGACTGTGACATGATGACCTACGTGGATGTTTAGCTTGTCACAGAGAGGCACACACACAGTGGACGAGGTGATTAAGTGACTGAAGCTGTCTCGACGCGGGAGAGTGTGGCTGTCTCCTCTCTGCTCTGACTGCAGCTGAGCTGCTGCGGGAGGCAACTGTGAGTCTGCGCGCCTGTCAGTACTATGGGAGGGCTGAGGGGCTCACGGCAGCTCGTTAACTGCAGAACAATACGTGAGTCTCCAAACACCAGAAAAGTCCCTAATAACACCATTACAAGTCGTTAGATCAGTCGTTAGTCGCTTTTGACAAAAATAAGTAGCCGGAGGGTTTGGAAAGCCGCCGAATGTAACGACAAAGTCGCCAAGTTGGCAACACTGGTCTGTGTCTGGTCTGTGTGTGACTTCTTAAATCGTTTGTTTACGTCCCTCACTTCCGTTTCGCTTCTGATTCGCTAGCTGAACAGCCAATAAGAGTGATTGCTTGGTCCGACTGCCTGACCCGATGCATGGCCGATTCAACATGTTGAATCGGCCATGCATCGGGTCAGGCAGTCCAAATAAGGCGTGTCACGGCAGACGGTGCGGGACACACCAACCTGACTACGGCGCCGCGAATGCCCGACAGCCTCTGACGGCCTCTGACTCCCAAAATCGGGTTGGTGTGTCAGGGCCTTTAGGTGAGACACCCCAGGTGAATAGGGTAATTTTTTTTAACTTAAAGGAATGCTCCACTCATTAGATAATTAATCAAAACTTCAGTATTTAGTGAAACATTATGTTTAAACCATACCCTGAAGAAATCAGCGATATTACCCGGTAAATAATGATTTTATAGCTCTTTTTTTATCAAATACCTGTATATTCCGTCAGGCCGCTGCCATTTTGCCCATTTTCAGTAGTCACGTGATGGTCGTGACGTCATCCATGCGTTCACTTTGTAAACACACAAAAACATGGCGAAGTTTTGAGCAATATGAAGAGATTGGAAGGGGGAATTCAGCCATACAGGTTCGAGCCTACTTAGTACTACTTAGTAGATACAATGATTTTGATTACTAGATATGTATGCATGTAGTACCACCCTTGCTAGCGATTCCCTCTCTAGTTTAGCATACTCAGCCTCGTTGTCCCTGGCCCTAGAACCACGATTTTATGGGGCCGGAAAAACTGGGGGAAAATACCCACTAGCCGGTACTACGCTATATGGAAAGGCCACCAAAAACTGTCCTGGCCTGGACGATAAAGGACGTTTAAACGGGGCTACCCGCTGCAATGGAAATGCGCTGCAATGGAAATGCGCCATAACATACCTTATTCTTACTCCGAGCACTACTTCTGGTCCTCCGTCGCTTCACACTTGCAGAGGGCGATTTCTCAACTGGCCGAACTGGTGTCCTGGTCGGTGATGACACCAGAAAGACCGATGGTACTGCATCTCCATTAAGTAATGGTTGTTCAATAAATCCCATGTTATGTTTTATCATACTCTCTAAAGACGACTACTCATAGACGAGTAGTCGTCCGGAAACTTGAAATGTTCGCTGCATACATGCGCCTGTGGATCTTTCGGTTCAGGCCGGCCACATTTCGCTAGCCACTGCCTCCGAACGTGCACATATTTTAACTAGGGCTGTCGCAAAAAAAAAATTAACGCCACTAATTATTTTAACGCGATTAACGCATGTGTATTTTTTGTCCTCGGCCGCCCCGTAGTTTCAGAGCGCATCGAGTTTAAAATACCATCTACAAGCTGATGCTGACAGCCCCGCTCCTGCCGCCCGCTTGTGGCAGACCACACTTCCACGCACACACACACGCACGCGCACACCATTTGTATTGTATCATTGTATGAGAGAGGTTCCAGGTTGAATTGAGGCGAATATTTGTAATGTTCAGAGGTTGTTGTGTTTAATATTCATGAGATTATTTGTCATTGTTCAAATGATAATAAACATTAGCATAAAGCATATTTGTCCACTCATATATTGATAACAGTATTAAAAACTTGAAAAATATTCCTCTAAGATACATTTAGAACAGATAAAAAATGTGCGATTAATCGCGATTAACTATGGACAATCATGCGATTAATCGCGATTTAAATATTTTAATCGACTGACAGCCCTAATTTTTCAGGAATCGAAATCTGAACTTTGGATAAAGCCAGGTTCAATTGTGAAGGTATTTCATGTTCGGGGTCATTTGTTTTTTGTATAATCTTGCTTCGTGTAAGTGACAATTGTTGTCGTCTTCTCTGTGAACGTTTTTTTCGCCGTTCTTTTGCCATTTTGAGATTTCAATTTCTAGCGGAAAGCTAACCAGGAAGTGTTTTAGCACACCACGTGACGCATCTGAACGAATCACGTTGCTAGAAATTGACACCAGCCAATGAGATTTTGTTTCTTGGTTTAAGACCCCTTTGTGCTTTCACGATTGGTTGTTGATACAAAGGAAATGACCATATTTGGATCCAATGAGATTGTGCAGGAGAGACACAGCTTTCCAACGATATCTCTGTTGACATGGTGCACACAGCTGTCGCGGTACTTTATGTTACGTTAGAATGCTAACTTTTGGTGAATTTAGGAGAAATCTACAGACGCAAATAGACAAACTATAGTAAAATAAACACTTAAATGTGTATTTTGTACGTTTTCCTTCCAAAAGCCTGAAAGAAAACATGTTATAGAATCAAAATAGCACAAAATCTCAAAATTGACCAGTACTTGAAAAACGATGTTTTTGCCTGCGGTGTCTCGCCTTAAGACATATACAACTGCAACGAAAGTAACAAACACAATGCAATATCCTTTTCAATTTCAAAGAACACAAATTGGTTTGTATACATTAACAAATAACTATAAAACAACAATAGTGTAGAATAACAAAATGAATGCCGTGAATAAACCGAAATACACGTGTTGAAGCGGTTCGCTGCTGATTACTACGCACCCCCCCCCCCTGCTGCTGATTACTACCGAATATCCGGAGCCCGAAAAATGGTATTTGGGACAGCCCTAGTGTTTAGATGGTCCAAGATTTGCCTGAGTATATCAGATTAAGTATATCATTGACAAGTGTTATATTGCTTTTAGGAGGAACACTGTCATCCAAGCCCATCCCCAGTGTAGGGCACTTCTTTAACCCGGACCTGAACCCCCCTCAGAGAGAGGCGGTGAAGAGGATCCTGGAAGGGGAGTGTCGGCCCATTCCTTATGTGCTGTTTGGACCTCCGGGCACGGGAAAGACCATCACCATCATAGAAGCCATACTACAGGTACATATCATTTTCCTAATCAGAAGCTATGTTAATTCATATCTTCCAACTAGCCAACTTAAAGAAACCCTTTCAATAAATATAAACTGATATATCAGTCCAGTGCTTTAACCTCTTAAGCCCCACGGACCCGAGCTCGGGTCCGAAAATGCTATATATGTAGCAACAGTGCTATATCTGAAGTGTCATTCATGAAACTATTAATATTTCATACCCATCTGACCGGAGGAAACTTGGCTTACTGACTATACGAAAACAATTTTTTTTTTCGAAAAATAAGTCTCACAAGAAGCCTCTAAATGACCCCATGTCAAAAACGGGCAATTGCTATGTCTGCTCATAACTCACAAAAACGATCATTTATAATTCATCCTTTCCGCACAAACAACACATTTTCTGAAAGCTGAGATTCCACAGATTCCATGGGTGTACACCCCATCACTACAGGCACAACATTAACCGAGCTGGCAGCCACAACATAGCAAGTAAACAATATCAGTTTTCAAATCCCTGACAATAATTAGGTCTTACCTTGGCTGTTTTGTGATCAAAAGTTGTGTTCAAAGGAATAAAAACGCTGCTCAGGGTTAATCCAATGTCTCTTGTCACTTTAAAATGATTACTGAGAATCAATCCTTTCATTCACGGCAGAAGAGTAGGTCCAACGATTAACAGTCCGTGGATTCAGCTGCGGGAGCTGCTTTTTACGCATAGCTCCCCCTCCGCAGGCATGACGTATTTACGTAATTTGAAACTGCTACTCGATTCGATTGGCTCTAACGATTCAAAAAAGGTGTCAATCACCCAAATCGACCAATGGGTTCCAGAGATAGGAGTTTGCGTAAGGATAAATAAAGGCTGTATCAGCTGATTTACGCACGACCCAGTCTTTGTACGCTGCATACTAGGCTATAGCGTAGCATAGCATGTCCCGCGGCGACAGGAGAGCAGAGAACGGCAGATCGATCAGCGAAACAGCAGGATTTGTTTTCTTTGTCTTCATTGTAACAATGGCAGCCAGAAAGAAGACTTTTTTGTCCGTCGAGGAGGCATTGGACATCGTATTTCAGGACTCTCCGTCGGAAGATAGTGATCTCGTCACGCACAAAGGGGACAGTAATGACTCTGATTATGAACCTCCGTCACCGGAAAGGTATGGATTCTCTCTGTTTGTATCTATTACTTATTTATTTGGTGTAAGAGTATTCATCTGTTTTTATCTTTTTGTTATTTATTTGGTGTAAGAGTGTATTCATCTATAGTAATTTCACACACGTGACAATAACACGACGGCATCCATCTTGTGATATAATGTTCTTTCACACACTCAACAACAACAAAGAAGATGGATGCCGTTTCTTGTTCTTGTTGTTGAAATAAACAAGACATATACATGTTGAATTTAACACGGTATTACATTTCATTTAGCTGACGCTTTTATCCAAAGTGACTTACAACTATATATATACACACACGCATATATATATATATATATACACACGTGTATATATATATATATATATATATATATATATATACATACACATATATATATATATATATATATATATATACATACACACATATATATACATATATATATACATACACACATATATATATATATACATATATATACATACACACATATATATACATATATATATATACATATATATACATATATATATATATACATATATATATATACATACATACATATATATACATACATATATATACATACATACATACATATATATACATACACATATATACATACACATATATATACATACATACATATACATATATATATATATATATACACACATATATATGACAGACAGAATATTAATATTAAATATTGAACAGATTATATGAACCCTGTCTCACATAATTTACACGGTATACATTTTGAGTGATATAATGTTATTTCACACACTCAAAATTGATGTTCTGCTGTTGTTGTAGAGAAATTATTTCTGATTTGAGTTACATTTTTGAAAGTACAAGCCAGAGAATTAATCTATTTGTTTTTTCCACATTTGTTTTCACAGTGAGGAAGGCGATGAGGATATGGCTTCTGGATGCCCGAGTATTATGGGGAAGATGCCACCAAGGTCAGGAGGTACTGCAGGAGGTGCTCTGATGCTGGCAACTGAAGGGTGAAGACACCTGTGTACTGCAGGAAGTGTCAGGTCCCTCTGTGCTTCACTACCAAAAATAACTTTTACAGGGCATGGCATGACTTACTGGAGTAATACTGTAACATTCAGGGTTTGTATAAAGTTTTTTTTTTACCCAAAAAATGCTTGTTGTATAGTGTGTTGCTAATTTTTTTTAATAAATCTGCTCCAGTTGGAGTCAAATGTTTCCTAAGTTTCCTCATTTGTATTGTGCAAGTAACATGCATCTCATGCAAAGAGGGAACTTCCCACACACACCACACACACACACTCCACACACACACACCCACTTAATTTTTTTTTTTTTTTTAACAATTATTTTTTTTTTTTTAATGGAATGAATACCTATAGTGATAATTAAATGTTGTACAATGATTTTTACAGTCTGGTACCTGAAAAAGGTTAAATGGCACTGATGGAACCAAATGTACCCAAATGTGCCCAAAGCTTAGTCCGCTTGGACTTTTTTTTGCTAAATCTCTCTAAAAAGGTCAATTCTCACTTGTTTTGCCTCAATCTTGATACAGGGTACTTATTATATGTTATACTTTGGATTCCTAAAGCTTTTAGGCTACTAACCCATCATTCAAGGGTGGTTTTCACTATAAGTAATGGGTTTTATTTGGGCGGAGACAAAAATGTACACTTTTTGACTATGTTCCATCTGGATTTACTCTGACACTGAAACATCTTTATTGATTCTGACACTTCTACATCCAACTCACAGATGTGACCTTGCTTTGATAAAAGAAATTATTCATATAACCCTTTTAGAAGTTAAGTTATAGTCCTTTGTTTTGGGCATGTCATTTTCGAGCCTGAAACCTGAAAAACAGGCTTGGGGCTTAAGAGGTTAAGACTCTTGTGCAAAAACATAATTTAGTAGTCCTAAACAAATATATTTAACACTTTATAGGTTTGATTTCATACAATTGTTCAGACCTTGCCCATGGTCATTTTAATTGTTCAATTATATCTGTGTCTATATTTTCAATCTCTGAAAAAAGTGATTCACAAATACTGTCCAGAGTGTATAAATCCAAACGGGTAGGTCTTACGTTGTTGTGTGGACAGCTACACTGTAAACCTGTTGATAAAACTGGTATTAATGGGGAAATGCCACGGCAACTTTTAGCTGCAATAGTGAGTAGGTCAGCATTAGGTCTTATGCCCAGTCTTAAGTTTACTTCCATTCTGCTCCTCTGCTTGTGTGACTTCTTTCTTCCTCCAGGTTTACCACTTTCTGCCCAGCAGTCGTGTTCTCGTGTGCACTCCCTCCAACAGCGCTGCTGACCTCATCTGCACCCGCCTTCATCATAGTGGCTTCCTGCATGCTGCGAGTTTGGCCCGTGTCAACGCATCTTCAAGGCAGGAGGAGGTATTTAACAGCGGCTGGGAAAAGAGATTCACAGTGCAGTTTTCCTTTGTCAACAGACACCTGATTTACAGTGTGTATGATCAAAGGAAAATATGCATGCTCCTTTGTGCAGTCTGGTCTGTACAGATGCCATTGACATCTGCCACCAGAGGGGGCGGTACAGTTATCTTTTTAAATAATAGATGAGGTCGTGATGACATGCTGTGTCTGAATCTACTTTAGTACATTTCTCATCATCCAAATGTATGTTTTTTTCTTAGTCCATCCCAGAAGCTCTGAGAGCGTACTCAAAGGCAGGAGAGGATATCCGCCATGCCTCTTTCCACAAGATTGTGGTCAGCACTTGCTCCAGCTCTGGCATGTTCCATAATATAGGAATACAGTAAGTCCTGGGCGGTAGCAGGGATAGTTGTACACAGTTTGAATAAGCGGATGTGTCCTCACTTCTATATACTACTATCTTAGTTCACCTACTGTTGATTCTATTTAATATTTTCTCAGAGTGGGACATTTTACCCACGTCTTCCTGGATGAAGCCGGCCAGGCCACAGAACCTGAGTCCCTGATCCCCATGAGTTATCTGTCGGAGAGAGATGGACAGGTCAGCACACACACTGACTACATTCACATCCAAAGGCTTTGTCCAGTGCATCAGTCTTGTGGGCAATCATGACATAATTGTGTGAGATCACCAGCACCAGTTGTGTTTGTATTGTGGATCGAAAAGAACGACAGCTGGACTTTTTTCTAATAATTTACAACAGTCCAATTGTATGTTTATGTTGTTGTTTCTTATGAGTACTTTTCCCCGTACTTTTCCCGTTTAGTTCCGTTAGTACCCCTTATGTCGCGTTCACACCAAAAAGAGTACTTAGTGCTGGGAACTTTTACCCCCATATTTAGTGCCTGCTGAGAGGTGGTACTCTCCTGGGGGGAAAAAAGTACCCCAGTTCTGATTGGCTGGGCGAATTGCAAACCACGCCCCGTAAAACTCTGAAATGTTTTGTAGATCCGCCATTTTATTATCCTTGCATTATTAGCATTAGCATTCGCCCAGCGCAGAAACGCAGAGAGACTAATTTATGGTAACACAAAAGAAAACATGGGAGCGGTGGAGATGAGGAGGTGTCGGCGTTCTGGCGATTTACTCGGAAGGCTTCAGTAGAAGCTGCTGGGAGTCCCAGCAGCTTCTACTGAAGCCAGTCCCCAACTCCGGGGACTTCCGGCCGGGGACTTCGGGTGGCAGTATACGCCGTGAAGTTGTTTGCGACCTACCAGTAAACCCAAAGCAGAAGAAGACGAAGTGACGTCAGCGGCTTCATTTGCCTAATCCACCCCCAGGGACTTATTCCGGTGTGAACGCGATCGGCTCTTAGTTCCATAGGGGAACTAAGTGCTGGGAACTAAGTACGGCAAAGTACTTGGTGTGAACGCGGCTAATGATGAAGTTTCCCCCTCCCTTGCTCAGGTAGTGTTGGCTGGAGACCCCTGCCAGCTGGGTCCAGTAGTGAAGTCAAAGCTGGCCACTGCATTTGGCCTGGGGGTGTCTTTGATGGAGAGGCTGATGGCTAACCCGCTGTACGCCAGACATGACTGGGGCTACAACCCTAAACTGGTTGGTGCACTGCGTACTAAATCCATAATTTTTAGCAAATTAAATGTTTTTTTTTTTTAAAGCAAGTAGCACATTGACACTAAGAAAGATAATAAAAATGGCATCTGATATGTATGTAGGATATCTTCCTATACAAATAATTCATCTTAGAAGAATATTTGAGTGTGCATGCTGTTATAATAATTATAATCTGGTTTTTGAATGCATCAGGTGACTAAGCTGATCTTCAACTACCGTTCCCATGAGGCCTTGCTCACGCTGCCCTCCAAGCTCTTCTACAAGGGCGAGCTGTGTTTTAAAGCACAGAGGGACGTAGTAGACTCTCTCTGCCAGTGGAAAACCCTGCCCAAAAAAGAATTCCCTCTCCTCTTTCATGGAGTTAGAGTGAGTGGTATTTTAAAATGACAAGATAATGCATCTACAAAGAGTTACCAGTTTATTGGGCATGTGCGTCAAATCTAATCCTGGGATTTTGCTCTTCCATAGGGTACAGAGATGAGGGAAGGCAACAACCCGTCATGGTTCAACCCAATGGAGGCGGTGCAGGTCATGCTCTATTGCTGCCAGCTGGCCAAGAAGCTCTACAACCCTGTGGATGTCTCGAACATCGGCATCATCGCCCCCTACAGGAAACAAGTAAGACTACAAGATTCATTTGGGAAATATGTATTATTAGGGTTTCTCCTAATATAAGTAAAGCTTAAAAATTGAGGGAGTGGCGCAGTGGGCTGTGCGCTGATCATCAGATCAAAGGTGGCGTTGGTGAACTCCAGTTCGAAACCCGCCCCCGCTGCCACTGCGTCAGGCCGTTGTGTCCTTGGACAAGACACTTCACCTGAATTTGCTCCTGTGTGTATTGTCCACAGTACATGACCGTTACATGTATGATATGTGTGTAATCAGGGGCGGATCTAGACAAATATTCATGGGGTGGCAAGAGGGTGGCAGGAGATTTTGAGGGGTGGCATCCCCTGGCAGAAGTATATGCTGATTTAAATCGCAATCATATCAATCAATTAGGGGTGTAACGGTACACGTACCCGTACTGAAATTATTCGGTACGGGCCCTTCGGTTTGGTACACGTGTGTACCGAACGAATATAGCGTTAAACGTAAAAAATTGAGAACATGAACAACTTTCTGGAAGTAATCTCAGGTATATATCATAGAGCGACCAAGTCATTTCATTGGACGAGAGGCATACTATGAGAGCTGGTCACAGGGATGCGTTCAAATGTAGTCAGTAATTTGAGGAACTGTCGAAATGGCGAACGCAGATAAAGTTGAGCTCGAAAATCCTCCAGCATCATTGAAGTCTCCGGTTTGGGAACATTTTGGTTTCGCAGTTACGTACAAGGATGACGGACAAAGACAGGTGGACCGAACCAAAGCTGTTTGTCGGCATTGTTCAACTAACATTGGTTACGCGGCTGGCAATACATCAAACTTGCACTCATATGAAAAGGCATCACCCGAACGTGAATATCACCGGTACCAAAAGAAAAAAGACTGAAGTGCAAACCCAACTCCCACTAGCATTTAAGCCTCCACCACTCGCAAAAAGTTCAGACCGAGCCAAAGCTAATAAAAACGCCAAATATCCTTATGTTGCCATGTTAGCAAAGCGCTACCTGGCTGTATCTGCTACCTCTGTCCCTAGCGAGGGTGTTCTCCACAGCAGGAGACATTATTAGTGCCAGCAGATCTGCCCTTTCGGCAAGCAATGTGGACAAGTTCATTTCTCTTTAAAAAAACATGAAAATACAATGACAAGCAAGTCCTAATATCAAACTGGCTGCTTAGGTACTAGTACAGTACAGTTCAAATACAGATTATTTCAGTTCATCGAAATGCTGCACCTTAATGTTTATTTTATTATATTTTGTATTTATTTGAATACATTATTCACAGTTTAATAATAATTAACAAATATATATTTAATGTTTTGTGATAATTTTTTCTGCTGTACCGAAAACGTACCGAACCGAACCGTGACCTAAAAACCGAGGTACGTACCGAACCGAAATGTTTGTGAACCGTTACACCCCTACAATCAATATTAACTTGGAAAGGCACAATATTAATATTTTAACTCAATGACATAGGTGATATTATTGTGGCACATCAGTAAAGCCTTACATATGCATATATAAGGTGGCAGACGTAATTTAATGAATTTTAACTGAATGAGTTGGTTTCACTCTTAGACCAGCAGGGGTACCAAATATATGAAGACTGCTGCAATAAGTATATTAATTAACTGTCTCATCGATGTTTGTCTGAATGAATATGATACTATTAACAATCATATTATTCCTATCAGCTGTCAATCACTGTTAATAAATAATAATAATAATAATAATAATAATAGATTTAATTTGTTAGCGCTTTTACAGGTGCTCAAAGACGCTTTACAGATATAGTGAAGAACTGTTATGATTCACATATTCACTTATTATTGAATAAACTATATTTTTTGGAGGAGTTAATGATGAATGTTCATCAAGATGCTTGCTCACCCTCCTTCAAATTTGAAAAACAAGTAATTATATCATTATTGATATACAGTTACAACCTTGACTTTGCATCAGAAAGAACAAATATTAAAGAAGTGACTAACTGCATCAGTTGGGGTTAAAAAAACGTGTATTCAGCTAAAACATATACATCGCTGCAGTAAGTTATTGTCCAGTGGAAAGTTCTTACCTACTGGCCTAGTTAAATCAAAGTGGTTACTTTCTGTTGGCTGGGCAGTGTAGTTTTACACACCGTCTTATTTTACTTTCTCAGGACTTAAAACAGTTTTTTGGGGGCAGACCTCCACAAATAAAAAAATATATACACGCATACAATGTCATCATCTTAACAGTTTTTTATGCTCATCGAGTCATCCGTGAGCAGAGCATGAAGTTGGCATGCCTATTACAGCTGAATGCGGCGATTACCATGTTGTTCAGCAAAACGCCTCACAAACTTATTAAGATCTAAAGCTTTAGTGCGTTTTGATTCAATGCCGAGTGCAGCCAAACTTCACAGTCTCTTCTCTGTCATTGTAGACCGCAACTACCTCATTCCTTCCGTCTACTTGAGTCCGAAAGGCTTCTCGTTTTGCGCCGTCCCCCGTTCAAGTGAATTCGCCACCAATCATATTTCCACTCTCGCGCCAGGGACGGGGGAGGGGTTACAAGACTCGCGTCTTGTGCTGCATTCACCTGCACTCGGACATTAGAGATTTTCTCTCATAAATGTCCGATGAGCCACAACTTTTCTTTCAAAACAAAGATGCCAACTGGGGTGGCAGCTGGGGTGGCAAGGCTATTGTTTAGGGTGGCAGTTGCCACCCCATGCCACCCCGGTAGATCCGCCCCTGTGTGTAATGTGTATTTGTAAAGCGCTTTGCGCATCTGGAAAAGCTCTATAATAAATGTAAGGAATTATTATTATTAAAAGCACTTTAGTTAAGATCTGTCTTAATAAAGAAGTAAAAACACTTTTTCAGTGTCAATTCATATTCTACTCCAAGGTAGATTCACTGGCCCCTATACTTTTAAGTGGCTTTGCATGTTTTAACAAAGCACTGTCCTTGTTTTCGTACCGCTCTCCAGTGTGAGAAGATCAGAGTGCTGCTGGGTAAGGTCGGCCTGTCTGATATCAAAGTGGGCTCTGTGGAGGAGTTCCAAGGACAAGAGTTCCTGGTCATCATCATGTCTACGGTAGGAAAAAACTAAATCTGTGTGATAGAAGTTACAAACATCATAGTCAGCTTTCTTGGAGTGGACTATTGATTCTACAGTAAATGTCCTTTGAATAAAATACAGTTATGCGTTTCAAAATTCTGAATCTGGCTCAATCCAGATGTGTCAAATGTTAAGTAGATATATCCGAAAGCATGGGTATCGGACATCGGGTTTTGATCCACTCAGAAAGATGGGTTTTTATTTTTGTGAACATTTCAGCACCTACCAAACGAAAAGGAATTTAGCACCACCTTGTGGTCAGTTGATGTAGTTTGTGTTGGGGGGAGAAGTTGATCACATTTTATTTGTAGTTCATTCCAAAAGTCCTCTGTTTTGTTTAAGTATGTTGAGAACGGTGCCCTTTCCCCTTATATAAAAAATCCCCACTTATAATAATAATAATAAACTAATATAACAACCACAGGTAGCTAAAAGCAAAGAGTTCCTTAGTTACCGGATCAATAATATTCTATCAGGTTGGCAACTGAAACTCAGACATTGTCCACTTAATAGTAATACAAATACTCAAGATCACAACTTCTACACTCACTACCTTGCCATAGTTCATTCCCTATTTTAGCAATTACTCAGTAAATGTCATTCTTTTGAAATATAGGTGCGCTCTAATGAATCCTTACTGAGTGATGATTTGCAGAGTGCTCTCGGCTTTCTGACCAACCCCAAACGCTTCAACGTGGCCATCACTCGCCCCAAAGCCCTGCTCGTAATTGTTGGGAACCCCCACATCCTCATCATGGTGAGTAAAACACTTTATTAGCACTAATAATTAGATTCTAGATTTTTATAGAAGCTAATACAATTGTATTCAATTGTGTTATTTTGAGTCTTTTATGTATTTTAAATGTTTGAATTTCTTTCCAGGACCATTGCTTCAGAGCTCTACTGCAGTACAGTTTCATCAACGGGGCATATCTGGGTTGTGACCCCCCTCCCTCCCTCAGAGAGTCTCAGATGTATGTCAACTGATCAGACGTCAGTCTTTATTTTTAATGGAAATGTATACAGTGGCTGCTTTATTGTGCAACATGTACAAGCTAATGCAATCTAATACAACAGTTCCTGCATCAGGTCAAATTCTGATGCCTATAATGTTCAGTAACAGTTAGACACTGTCATAGGTGTTCATTAAATACTGCTTTAGTATTAAAGGTATGGTAGGTAATTCACTTCAGAAACACTTTTTGTTATATTCCATGGAATGCTCTTAACATCCCGATAGGAATGAATAAATTAAATGCTTTACAATAAATACATAAAAACATTTCATCTGTGGAAGCCGTGGCGCTGTAAAAAGCACGACCAATCATTTTAGCCGGCCCGGCTAAAGTAACTGGATGGCCTACCTGCCTGTCAGCCTTCCATCTGTGCACAAACTTATCTCGTGCCCTCATTGGTCATGTGCGCGTTCGTGTGTGTTGGAGGAGGGGCTCTGTAAGGAAGTCTGAAGGAAGGGGCAGATTTTTTTCGGCTGCGTACTTTCAAATTCTAGCGCACTCGAGCTGTTTTCTCCATTCTTACCTACCCTACCTTTAACATCATATTTAGTGATGCATTTGTATACAGGTGATTCGTAATATTCTGAGCCCTAATTCATGGATGTTTATAAGGGAAAACCCCCATCAATATGATATAGTACAGAACAACCCACTGCTTTTAGGTTAGTTGGATTTTTAGTAAAAGTGAAAGAAATTGCTGAGACAAGTATTTATTTATCCCATTTTTTACATGGCTGAGTATACACAAGCAGCTACAATAATTACTACCAAGACAATTGCCAGTGCTGGTTTAATCTATTGGTGGCTTCTCCTTTTCTCCAACAGAGTTGCAGAAGAGCAAAGGATTGCATAAGAGGACAACGTAATCATGGACGGTGTACCTCAGCTACAACTTGACTGTCTTAGCGTGTTCGAAGACTTTATTTTTGTTTTACCCTTCAATTTACCTTGGCTTGTCTCTCTTTTGACTGTTTGTGATCAGTGTAAACTGATTTGGTTTGGAAAGAGGAATTTCTTGTTTCTGTGAAAGCCAAATGCGGTTCTAATCAGGGGGTAGAAATAAAGATGATGCTTGTCTACACTGCACAATTGTTTCTGTGTCCTGTGATTATTAAGTTGATGTGCTTCACTGTGCATAAGATTTTTCTGTTGGACTGCCACGAATATGGGTAAATTACTGTGAACCGCGTCATAGCAGTCCTGCGCTGTTCGTCTGCCAAGGCAGCACAATAAGGCTACAAAAAGGATTTTCAATTCACTTTCCATATTTTAACAGCAGCATTTTCTCATTTCTTTTTTCAATATTTTTTTTTATTGAGTCAGGCACAATGATTTACATTTATACGGTCTATATTTTTCCTTCCCCCCCCCCCCCGGTCCTAGCTAGTAAAGTAAATAAATAGATATATATATATATATATATATGTAAAAATAAAGTAATGTAAAAGATAGTTCAAAAAAAAAAAAGATAAGGAAATAAAGAACAATAACAATAATACATGTACCCATATACTCACATATGTATACCCACATACACATATATGTACATACCTACACCCATACCCACACATTTATACATACAGAGACATACATTTACTGTATATAAAAAACATACATTCATAGTCCCCCCTTTCTTCCTAACTTAGTGTCTTAAGTCCAGCTATGTAGGCTATCACAGAGCCCCAGACAGATTCAAACATTTCTGAAGAGCCCCTCAGGTTATATTTAATCTTCTCCAAGTTCAGGTATAACATTAGATCTTTAAGCCATAGAGAGCATTTTCTAATTTCTAAAGAAACAACTCTGTTAAGAATGCAAAATAAGTTATAGGTTAAAGTTGTAACCTTAATGTTGGTGTGTTGGCTGATTGAGTGGATCCACAGATGCAGTCTGTACTTTCTGGGGGCTCCTTGTCTCGGCGTGGCAGCGTCTGCCCACAAGCCCCGGAGACTGGATGTGACAATTGAGTGCTACTGACAGTCTGCACAGGGACTGTCAGTCCTACTGGAGCCCAGCAGGATGGAGAAGGGAGGGGGGTTAAAGAGGGGAGAGAAAAGAGGCAAAGGGGGTTCAATCTCTTAAGTTAATGAGTCTCTAATGTGCAAGCAGGAGACAGCTTTTATCTGAGTTCACTCAGTTGCAAGGCAGGCCTGCCCAGACATCCTGTCCCCCCCTTCTTTCCTCCTCAAACACACCTCTGTCTTTGATGTACATCTCAGGTGTTTGTGCTGCTGTCCCACTCAGCCAGTGGATACTGCACTGTAGAGGGGAAAATACCAAATGTACGTTAAGCTACTCAAATGATTATGGATGATAACATCCTACACGTAGATAAGGATCTTCAAACCTCTGTTTTAGCTGGGTATTTGAGCAGGAAAGCCTGAGTTGAAAATTGTCTAAGGGTGAAATTAGTATTTGATATATCCCTTGTTCAGATTAGTTTAAGTTCTAATGTGTAATTAATCAAACCTAACATCATAGTCAAGGATGATCATGGTGTTATATTCTAAAGACGTTTTATTATTTAATGTTAATCACATTTCTTCTCTAAATGGTGGCACTTCATCTTTCTTCTCTACTTTACATGTATACATGTTTTTCTCAACATAGCTGTAATGACTTCACACACAGGGTGTAAAAAACAGACTGCAAAATGTAGTTTGAGCAGAATGACCTGAACTAAGAACCAAAGAAGATTATATTGTAAGAAACAAATGTTAAGATATTACACCTGTAGAGAGAAATTATGAATTATATTATTAGAAAAAAATGGTTTGTTCAGTCAGTTTACAAAACTTTTTTCAATTCGCAATACTAAATTGTGATTCACATTTAACTGATGTGATGGCAGTGAATGCATATTTTAAAGGTATATTTCTGAAGAATGCTATCTTAGTGCAACTTTTGGCAATAATGAATAGAAGAACTTTATTTAGTAAAACTAAGAAGATATCTGGTTAGTTAGGATTTTAAAGCAGGGTTTTGCCTCATATTGACTTCACTTCATAGTCATCTGAATTGGAACAGAATGATGTGCACTAGCAAAGAGATCAATGTCTAAATCCAATGAATATGCAGACTTTAAATCTGTAAGAGTTTTGTTTTCAGTGTACAGTAAGATGCAGTCGTTATGCTATTTAATTCAGGGGTGTGGTATATTTGACAGACAGGTGCCCATCCATTCAGCTCATACTCGTATCACATTCTCATTAAGTGATGCAGGGGCAGGCAACACATTACCAAGACAGACACAGTGTCTACAGGGCAGCCATCAGGCCCAACAACAGACCCCTGCTGGGCTCCTGGCAGGGGGACCTTGTTAAATGTGTGGACCTATTGTTCTCCTAAATTGGTCTGTGACTCTAATTGCCCAGTTAGTCCCATTTTACGGGCTACACTCGTCTACCCGACCTGGAACCAGCCTGCACGCATCAGATCAGGCTGTAAAAGTTGGCTGGGCTGGTGAGGGCTCTGGCTGGGCTGGTGAGGGCTCTGGCTGCGAGAGAGTAGTCCTTGCTGCAAACAGGAAGACGAGAGTGTGGCAAACTAAAATCAGGTTGACTTTGGGATGTCTGAAGCCACAATGAGCATGGCAGGCTGGGTGGGATAGAGACCTCGGATTCATGAGGGAAAGTCCTCCAAAGGCCTGGAGGCATCAGCCCAAGATATACATCTTAATCTGTAGACAGACGACATCCAAACAAATACGATGATTCTCTAATGTAGTTCTTTTGTTAAATTAAGAGGCTCGAATGCACAAGACAGAGAGAACGAGACAAATTAGCACTTGTGTCTGTGGCCCTGGTCTGCATCTCAGGACGACATCTCGGGTGTCTTGAGTGCAGGGTGTCCGCGGGGTCTTAAAAAGTATTAAAAGTTGATCAATCTATTTAGCGAAAATTAAGGCTATTAAAAAGTATTAAACGGCATTTTCCAAGGTATTACATTTTGTAGCTTGTTTTCAATAAGTATATAAATTGTCCAAAGAGGTTGTATTCTACAGTGTGCCTGAATGTAATCATTGCGTAGGTGTGTGTGATTCTGTGTAGTTTATTTATGGCATCCCGTTGGATTTGACGTCATCTGAACAGGACATCGCACGCTCACTGCTTGATAGCGCGCGAAGGTCCGTTTACGCCGGTTGTTAAACAACATCGTTATGGGGAAATGCAAGTTTGCGTCCAAATGGTTGGAAGATAAGGAGGAAGGACAATCAATACTGTATATAGTAAATGTGAGGTAAAGTGTGTCGCCAAGGTAACCGGTTAAAACTCGAAGTGGTGACGAGGTCTTAAAATGTATGGAAAGGGTCTTAAAAAAGGTCTTAAAAGGGATTACATTTGACTTCAGGATTCCTGCTTATACCCTGTGAGTGGGATGTTGGTTTGTTATGACTAAGTGTGGATGCGTCTGCCTGACAGCAGATGTTGCTCGAGTAATTTGTAGATATAAGTATGATTCATAAAAAAACATATTAATCTTGGCTGAAGGAGATGTATGTATGTTTCCATGCTATAACACAGATGTCGACGGCAATGTACTGATGCTGCCAGAAAATGTTTCACTGCTGATGCTTAATATTAAAACAAATCAAATAGACAGCATAACTGTAGTTTACAAGAGAGTTAGTGTTTCTGAAAGATCAAAGCCAGGTGAGCAAAAAGAGACGCTGCCTTGCTAATGAGAACTGGAGGACCACAGATGAAACCCTCCAATTAGAAGCAGAGACACATGAAAGAGACTGGCAGTATGAAGGAGACTGCCTGTCTGTCTACACAAGATTTATTTCTAAGGGAACTCTCAGAGATTTATTTTGCTACCCTCAGCAAAGCCTCTTTATGGGATTTGGTTCTTTTGAGTGATATATAAAAGCAATGTTGCTTTATTTTGCATTGGCAGGTATGTAATAAGCTCAAAGCAGATACAGCTATTAGGACAAATAACAAACACATCACTCCTTTTTGAGGTAATTGAGTCACTATTACTAACCCTGCAAATAATGTATATAGTTGCAGCAGTTTAGCTAACCCCATGTTATAGACTTACTGTATATATTGTAAAAACCAAGGTCTTTTTTGTTCTTTTCCACAAGGTTTTCCCAATATTTTTGACCCAAAAAAAAAGATGAGGCAGTGGCCGTTTCTCAATGTCGAGTAAAGCTGCTGCAGAGCCACTATTTCAAGTATACTGCGTCATCGAGTGGCGCCGAAGGACTGTTTAAATGCCCAGCATTCGGCGCCACTCAATGACGTAGTATACTTGAAATAGTGGCTCTGCAGCAGCTTTACTTGACATTGAGAAACGGCCACAGACTCTGACTGGGCTTCACTCAGTGAAAGCTGGGCCATGATTGCCCATTGTCCCCCCCTCCCTACTCCCCCCGACACACACCCTCCATCTGCTTATTACCCCCCCTTTTGTCTGCAGTCATCACAAAACAAGCCGTTGTCTCCAAACTCATCGTCTCTGCGTCTTTGATAGGTAGTTGATAACAGACTTACAGGCTGATGGGCCTGGCTGACCTTGCTGTATATAAAGCAGGCAGCATCAGCTACTAAGTCATTCTAGGAAAAAGAGACCTCTGGACACCAGCAACCTCAGCTCATCTATCTACCTTGAGGACTCTGGATTTCGCAAATTCCTTCACTATGAGTGTGTTTTTCACTGTTGCTCTCCTGGCTATGGCATTGCCTTCAATGGCATTTGACATGAGTCAGTCCACTCGTTGCGTCACCATCCCAAATCAGATGAAAGTGTGCAAAGATGTTGGATACTCTGAGATGCGTCTGCCTAACTTCTTGGGTCACACCAACCTGGAAGCTGAGGTGGTGCCACGTTCAGAGGACTGGAGGCCCCTGCTGCAGACAGGATGCCACCCTCAAGCCCAGGTCTTCCTCTGCTCCCTCATTGCTCCCGTCTGTCTTGATACGTAAGTACATTTTACATGCCTTGTAATTGTAATTCTCCTGGTTGTTATTTTTATGTAAAATATAACTCAACAAAATATATTGAATATGTTTAAAACATGCTTCAGATTTAAACATTATTTTGCAGCAATATCCTATTCATTGTGTAACATTATTTTTATTTTATTCTACAGCTTTATCCGGCCATGCCGTAGTCTGTGTGTGGCAGTGAGGGACAGCTGTGCCCCGGTGCTCGCCTGCCAGGGTCAGCCATGGCCTGAGGCACTCGATTGTGACCGCTTTCCTGCCCAGGAAGACATGTGCCTTTCTCCCTACTCTAAATCTAGCCACAGTGCCAAAGGTATGCATAGACCACAGACTATACATCAATACTTGAATGCCTTGTCATTCCATTCATTACCAACCTCTTTAGGTTTGTCTATTATAACTGTATGTACCCTGCATTCTTGCTAAATTATGATTATTTTCTTATCACAGACTTACCAAAACCCGCCTGCCAAAACTGTCCGTCTGTGGAAGAGTCTCCTGCAATGAAAACAGTCCTGGATGCTTTTTGCCTGCATGACTTCGGTAAGTTTAAGAGTTATTTCACTACACTGATTTGTTATTCCACCTGTATGGCCATGTTTTTAACAATTGTATGTGATTTTCTTAACCGGATAATTAATATTTTTTTCTTTTTCCACAGCTGTGACTGCCAAAATCCATCGTCGTCGCCTCCCTTTGGGAAAGCCAGAATTTGAGGTTGAAGGCCGTGTTGAGTTTATCCGCCAGGGACCTCTCCTGCCTTATGACACCCAGCACCTACTGCAGCAGTGGCTCCTCATCAACCTGCAATGTGCCAATATCTTAGTGCGTCCTGGAAGGTCACAGCTTTACGTGCTGACTGGTTTTGTGCAGAATGATGGCACCCTCGCTCTCACCCGGCTTTTCCCTTGGCACAAAAAAGACATAAACATGGCAGTGGCCACTCGCAAGTGGAAGCATCACAGATGTTTAATGGATTGATAGTTACATGTACAAACTGGAGCTCTGAATCTGTTTAAAGTGTAGACTTGCTTAAGAAAAAACAATGTCACACTCAAAACATATCATTCAAGACAAAATCAAGGAGGAACTTTGAGAAGAAGAGTTTCTGGGCATTGGGTGTTAGTGAGAATTTTTTAAGTCAACTGAATTAATATAAGAAAAGAGCTGAATACCAACACCCTTTGTCTCCCTCAGCAGCTCACTCTCTCATCCCTGCTCTGACAGCACACAGTAATTGAATGCACTCAAACCTGTACATAGTATTAATTAATGTAAATTGATGTATATTATATTTTCTATAATGATATTGGTGTATTTATGACATCTTTTTATGTGTATGCTATGTGGAAAAAGATGAACATAAAACGTTTTTTTCTGCAAAACTATGTGTCATTTTTAACAGTAAAACCATTTTTGGCCTAACCGCTTAGCCCTTTAAAGTCCTGAGGCAAAAACAACAACATACATATACAGCAAGGTAGGGTCCTCTATATACCTTACCCTCTTCTCTTAACACTCATTCCTCCACAAGGTGGCACACTTATGGAGAAACAAAACACTGTCCACTATTATTGTACCATGTCCCCTTTTCATTGCAAGGATTACAAGGGTTATTACAGAAAAATAACTGCATTTAATTCAATGTGTGTTTTACCCCCTTTAGTCTGAAAACCTGACTTTTTATTGATGATTCTATGATGTGCGAAGTGTCTCGGGAAAAAAGTAAAACTAGAATGACTCATGACTGTATTCACTGTAGATGGCCTCTGGTCTTGGTCATACTAATGAGAAGATAAATCACCCACTTTGCATTTGAAAAGCCTCACTTATACTAGCAGGCTGAACATTGGAGCTAGGGTTGTGGAACAAAAGGCTTTTTCTAGACTTTTGTGATTCTATTCATTTTGATGCCGTGCTCGGGACAGTTAATGAGTCTCGTAGTTTCAAATAAATGGGAAAATGCTAAATGGTTTTAAATGTGTTGTCCTAATTAGGTTTTAATGATCTAAAATGTATGAATTTGAATCTGTTTGATTAATCACATTTTGATGTACTGATAAAGCAAGACATGGGACTTTGATAAGGATCAGTTTATTAAAATTAGTTAGACTTAGAAAGCCTTTATCGTTTTTTTCTTGCTACATTTCGATAAGCACATTTGTACATAAAGCTGAGCACAACCAAATACAAGTTTGTATTTGTCCCATACACTACTGCTCATTAACTTAAAATAAAAAAATGACCTAACCCAGTCTTTAGCGTGTAGTATATATTCCACCTCAGTTAGCTTTGTCTGCTCTTGGCTGAGCAGTTAACTAAGTGAGGCATATGATATGCAAAGAGAATAATCACGTTTTTGTATATTAACTAATTTGTTTAATCAGCAACGTCATCACTATATAGCTTCCGGTGGGAAAAGAGCTCTACTCATAATTTTGTCCTCCACTGCAAGAAAGGAACCATGGAGAAGGGTAAGATGGAAAGACGACACATTAACTGCACAAAGTTTTTAATTATATGTATTACTTCGTTTTTTTTAATGACTTAAAGTTTTTTTCCCCCTCAGTTTTGTTTGCTGTTCTTACGCTGGTGTACCTGGAGCTTTCTATGAGGGTGGTCAGTGCCCCAATCTGTTCCTATGGACAGGCTGGATGCCATGTTCCTTCTCTGGCAGATCTCTTTGAAAGGGTCATACAACAGTCTTCAAGAATGCACAGCGTCTCCAGTGATCTGCACTCTGATTTTGTGAGTTATTTTCTTTCAGCTCTGACATTGATCATCTATCACCATCCATCAACCTTTCGACCGCCATTCTTCCATCATCAATCAGCCTCGTTGGAGTCGGCTATTTTTCGAGCCCCCCTGACATAACTATGTCTGATATGTGTGTCTCTCTTCACAGGAGCAATATTTCTTTCCCAGGAAGAATCTCATAGGAAAACGGAAGTGCCACACTTATGATATACTCACACCAGAAGATAAGGAGAATGCACAAAGGCTAGGGGTAAGCATTTATTTAGTTAATAATACTTATGCATTTAGGCGATGTCCCTGCATCTTGTCATATTAATTTATTTAAGCAACTTTGTCATGTGCAGAGAGAACAACTGACAGAGGTAATCGTGAGGCTGCTTCAGGCTTGGGGTGAGCCGCTGTCTGAGCTCTACCAGAGCATGTCTCAGGATCAAAATCAAGACTTTAACCTCTACAGCTCCAACAAGGCACTGGAGATCAGTGATATATTGCATGAGCTAAAAGACGGAGTGACAATAATAACTGAAAAGGTAGCAAATCACCTTTGGTTGTAGATGTGTTTTTTGGCTGTGTCTAAGTGATTTTATTTGGCTTGGTTGTTTGCAATGTATCAATTGTATACAGTCAATGTTGTCCTTTTTCATTTCTTGAAATAATTCACTTTTTAATATTTCTTCTGTGTTCAACAGATGAAGCTATTGGGAGTGCTTAGTAACACTGTGGGTTATAACTCTCCTGAGAGTTTGGTCCCCTCTTCAGCCTTCTACACACAAGGAGACCTAGACTCAATGGACCATCATGACCTACTCTACTGTTTCCGCAGAGACTCTAACAAAGCGAAAAATTATCTCCGTATCCTGAAATGCACCACTCTTCCTGAGCCGGACTGTTAATAGTGATAGCAAAGAAGTTTAGTGTGGTATCTTTTAATGTTGGCTGAATAGAAGAGTCTTTGTTTCTTATTTGCTTTTATCTACATTATGTTCTTACCAACTTGTAATGGGTGCATTTACTGTACTGGAGTGTGTATGTCTCTTGCAGTTTTATTGTCATAGGAATGACACAATTTCATTTTTGACCATTGACTGTAAAAAGGTAAAAACATAATAAAAGATAACTAAACCATCATTGTTTTTGTTCATCTTCTTGTTAATGGATACCACAAGCTCTATAGTTTTTCTATTAATGGTAGACAGTGTATAGAAGTGTTTATTGACATGTTAATTTAATTGTTCCACAGCCCACCACAGTAAAAACAAGCAATATGGAAATGAGGATTAATTGAAACGCTTTATTTACACCTGATCTATGCATTCATAATCATGAAAAAATAACATATTTACAAAATATAGCAAGTGAGATTTGCCTTCAAAAAGGTTTTTTGATTATGAGCAGAGTGTTACTCTAAAGCTGACTAAATGACAAAACTAATTTGAAGTCTGATGTAAAAGCATAAAAGCAAGTGACTTTTGTGCATTCAAGTGATTGTAATTACAATCAAAGAGTGGGAATCTTTCCTGGAAAGACTTGTTAGTGTAATAAACAATTGCTAAATAAAGCTGGTGATACGCAATAAGATGATTCAACAAAATGGTTACATGCTTTATAAAAGAGTCAATGTTAGTCTTCACAGACAGTTTATTCTATCCACACATTCCTCAACACCTTTCCAGTTGTGTAGCCTTTTACCAGTTTTTGTGGATTTAAGAAAGTCATTGGTTTACTTTCCACCCATTACTGCCACTCATGTGTCCCTGGCACTATTCTGTGATGGTGATCTCTCACTTTTTGATTCAGAGTGATGGTTCTGTGTAGGTTCTTCCTCTTCCTGAGCGAGACCCCGGGCCATGAGCTCATCCATTGGGGAGCGAGTGTTATGGACCTCCTTCTCCTTACAGTTCCTCCACTTCATACGACGGTTCTGAAACCAGATCTTTACCTAAAGCAGCAAAAGAATGGAGAGGCATCTTGGTCAACTTCTGTAGTCTTTTTCACCACTTCTCACATCTGTTAAATTAAATATGGCTAAGGGTGTACTCTGATCGTTCTTTTTCTGTCTTTTATGATCAGAAGTGGATCAAGCTTAATCATATATTTGTTTTACCTGGGACTCCTTGAGACTGAGATCAGCTGCCAGTTTGTTCCGGTCTGTCTTGCTGATGTATTTCTGTCTCCGAAAAGTTCTCTCCAGCTCCTTCCGTTGTTCGTCAGAGAACACAGCTCTCCTAAGGATCCCTCTGCGTGATTTAGGACTTATATCAGCAGACCACATTTGAATATTTGCTCCCTCTGAAACATAAAAAAAACCCACATATATTAATAATGGTAAATCCGATGAATATGATATTGATGGACTGTGGAAAAAAATGCTAACCTCATAAGAAAAAAAGCTAGAAGTAGCAGCCATGGGAATTCAGCAGTTGTGTGTAGCGAATTGAGATTCAACCGCATTTTGGTCCAATTTCTCAAGAGTCTTGATTATGGATATTTTGATTTAAAGTGCTAAAATCCAATTAAGTCTGCAATAAATATAACCATATCTCATTTCCTACATTCTTTACCCGGGATCATGCCTGTTTTTGGCCCTCACTTTTGATTTCTCTTTTTCTTTTTGTTAAATTTAACAAACTCGGGGTGACTAAAGAGAATAGAAAGCCACTTCATCTGAGAAAAAGGGATTTGGTGAACTGTGAGGAGCAATCTCACGCTACTTCACTCACAGGTGCACGCACAACAAAAGTCAAGTGGAACAATTTAGCCATCTATTCAATGTTGCCTTTTTAATCTGTACGACAAATCTGCGCATAGACCACCTCTAGGGAGCACATAACAGGTTTGGACATGCTTCTCACTTCTCTATTGGGACTCAATGGCTTTCGGTTAAATAGCTGATTACCAGGTCATTCCTGGGCAACGTGTGTGTCTACCCTAGTGGGCCAGCTATAGAGCACTGTGGGACACCCACAATAGAGCCGTTCAATGGAAATGCCATTACTCGATGGTTCAGTGGCCCAACACTAAATCTTTTCACTTGCAGGTATGAAGCCAGTTTGTATGTGAAGATGAGCTCGAATAAGTCTATAAAAGTCACTTTCTTTGAATGCTTTATGTCCTAGTCAAGAAGTTTCAAATGGCCAGGAATGAGAGTTGAAGGACAGGAGAAAGGAGGGGGGTTGGCGGACCAAGCTCTTTAGCTACACAATAGCCGGGGGATGTTCCTGGTCCAGCCCTCTTCTGTAGAGAAATGGGTGAGTTTTTTGTGCTAAGCGGATTTCATTGCTGCAGTGAAAAATTGCAGTGAGGTCGCGTGTGGATGGTGAAGTGAATGTGCCAATTGGTCACGGCCGACTTTGCATTGTTGAGTTGCTGGGCACTGTGGGAAAGTGTCAACCTACTAAGAAGACTTCAGGGACCTGTGGGATGAGGGCTTTCTGATTTGTGCTTTTTTCAACAACATTTGACAGGCATCGTAGATTGAATAAACTAATAACTTCCAGTTGCTGTGGGATAGTGCCAAAATAAGATGGCTTGTTTAACATAATGAATACTAGTAGATTCCGATTAAGCAATAGCACTTTCAACAAGTTTGAATCCACTTAAAGATGTCAAGCACAATTCAGAGAACACTTTAATGTTTCAGGGTAATTACAGGATTTTCTGGATGTTTATAAAATTCATGCTGCCTGAAAATATAACTTGAAGCGGTTTGGATTCACAACGAAACTCATTGGTGAAAGACAGTGACGTGCGGTGAGGTTCATGGCTGGTGAGGCACTGACTCTTTCAGAGTCAGATTTACAAATATTATATTTTGACCTTAATCGAAATATTCGGTTATTTTCAAAAGCTTTTTTAGTCTGATGCTTCGATTCATTTTAAACAGACTGTTCAACAAAAGGATACCCAAAATCTAAATATTGGATTGTTCTTTCTTAGTAAGATCCCATTTTCATTACAATTGTGGTCTAACCTTGACTTGAAGATTAAGTCCATGCTATCCTTCTGGACAACAATCTCCATTACATTAAAAGTCCTCCTTATCTTCCTGTAGTTTCAAAAGTCTAGTTTGTTGTTCGTCGCTGCGTAGAATAACAGTAGCAACAAGAACCTGTGGGCTCACTTGCGCCCCCTTTAGTGCGGCAGAGGTTATGGCTGCCTCCCCTGGTGCTTTTTTTATTGCCGTTGTATGATGAGACCAGCGAGCCTAAATATCATATATACGTGAAATAAGTTATTTAGAGACTATGGATGGCGAGGATAAATGTAATAAAGTGATCTACAAACATTACATTGGTGACATTCAGTGAGATGGTGCAGGCATGCGCTTAGGGCCCGCTTTCCAGCCAGTTTCTGTGGGGTGACGCATTCTGAGGTGAGGCAGAGCTCATCTGTGACCTCACCTCACCCCACAGTGGCTTGAGCGCGCTCACAAAATAAGTGCCCGCGCTACATTAGTGCCCGCGCTCCAGCCAGAGGTGAGGCAGAGCTCGTCCCTGCCTCACTCCCATGTAGTTGTAGCGGAGCTCGGCCAATTTGCTGATTTTGACTATAAAAAGCGATTGGAATCAAACAGAAATCACACTTACAACACAGATCAGTGGAGACATTTTATTATTATTACTATTTAGTTTTTCTTTAGTTGTTTTTCCGTTACATTGGAGTATCTAGTATGACAGGTGAGGCTCTGCCTCCACTGACTGCACGTCGCTGGTGAAAGAGTGCTAAGCGATAAAAACACATTTTCTTAGTCAGTGGAAGAAATTCACACCTGGTAATTGTAATCTTAATATGACAGAAGACAATATGTGTATTAGCTCTGCATATTTGTGTTAGTAAAAGTGTGTATTTGCAAGAACAAAATAGGGGGCCCCAGGGACTCTTAAAAGCCTTGCAACCCACTCCTCTTCCCTATACTAAACAGCCGTGAACGGTTATGAATAGAGCCGTGCAGAGTTGAGCGGAGAATTAGCTCTTTGGCATTGCATCGGTAATTAGCTGTGGAAAGCATGGGAGACCCTGCTGATAATGCTTAGAGAGTAGCTGAGGCATTGCTGATGAGGCATAAAACACTCACTGGAGAAGGCAGGAGGGGGGCTGGACCCATCGCAGCATGCCAGCATATAATGTGGGCTCGGCAGGAAAACACTGCTCAGTACACCTGCAAAGAGAGATAGGAATAATCAGATATATTCATGTTGTAACTGGGTGAGACAGGTATAATATTTCACAAGGAACTGTATCTGGATCATCGCCCACTTCTGAGGCATTTTGAGTCTTACCCTGTCAAATGTTTATCTACATTTCTTCAGCATTTTATTTGATATGTCAACGTTTTTAGAACTACATTTTATTTGAAGACTACATTATCCAAAAGAAATGAAAAAAATTCACAAATTAGGTCAGAAAATAAATTACAAATAATCCTTTTTGCTCTGTCAATGAACACATTGTTTTGGACTAGTTAGTGTTATTTCTTATCAATGCAAAACATTTAATGTGTTTTAAATATATGTTTTAAAAGTAATAATTTGCTAGTTTTCTTCCATTAATTAAAATGTAAATATTTTATATTTGATATTAAACAAATATTGTAGTACTCAATTATTCAAAAGTCAGTTTTCCCCAATCCTGAGTATGTCAACAGTTTACACAGACCTGCAATCATCATTTAAAAATACATTTCATAATTTAAGTTTTATATAGGAGGCCGCACGGTTGTTCTTTACTTTTGTAGTAAACAACAGTTGGTACCACTTTACAATAAGACTACCCTTATAAAGGATTCATAAAGGGTTTATAATTAGGTTATGAATTAGGTTGTAAACACTTTATTAATCATTAAGAATAATTTATAAACCAGTTCTAACACACCAACACAGGCTCACTATTTGGCGAGAGGACTAAGCTTTATATTGACTACTTAGCGAGAATCAACTCAGTGAGCAACAGATACCAAGGATGCTGGCTGATGAAGAAGATGAAGTAAGCTAGGTAGCCAATATAAGGCTTAGCAGTTCAGATAAATGTGGGCTCTCTATTTGGCAAGCAACCGGTCACAGTTGCCCTGTTTATCTCATGTCTTATAAAAGCTTATTAATGATTTAAAAAGTGTTCACAACCTAATTAATAAATGAATGACAAACTATTCATAAACCCTTTATAAGGGTAGTCTTATTGTAAAGTGGTACCCAACAGTTATATGCTAAAAGCAAAGCAGGGAAATTGAAATGGTCTTTCTTGATTACATTATTTTAAACAAGTTAAGAAAATGGCAGTAGGTCAGTTACTTATGCTGTACTTTCTCTAACAAGGATAAATATATCATTCCCAAAAATGTATTTAAAACCTATAATGTCCATCTTAAAATTGAGAATGTATTAAACTTAAAAAACGTAACAATATTTAATAATATTCCAGAAATAAAATACAAATAATAAAACATTGGCTGACATGTAAACATCTAGCTTCACATATTTAAAGTCCTTGACAAAATATAAAAATATCAGATCTGCTTGAATAAAAACCTGTTTACCTGTGTGTGTTAGAAGGGGTACTCCCAAGTCTTTCCTATGCTGGGGACTGTGGCCCTGGCTTTGGTAGGCTCCATGCTCACAGCCCCAGATTCTCCTAGGTCGTTCACATGCGGCCCGTCGCAGGTGTCCACCTTGTATTGTTTCTGGGCGGGCTGAAGGTGTCTGTGACTGCAGCAGATTGTCAATAAGAAAACTCTTTCCAGAGTTACCAAAGCCGGGAAAAGCAGGAGGAGAGCCGGCCATATTCCTCCTGGTGCAGCTCTGCACTGAGAGCATCCTGTTCACACAGTGACCCGAACACTTGAGTTCCCTCTTCAGCAGTCACAGCTCAGTGACACTAAATTCTCCTTTAATCCTTTCTTGAGTGACCAGGCCAACTTCATTAAACTCTGAGGAAAACAAAAGTCCTCTGCTCTTCCTCTTTCGCCCTGCACTTTGCTACAGGGCTGTGTCGTGATTGGTTGAGAGGCTCTAATGTGCTTCTCAATTCAGATAAGGCTGGGGCCTTTCTGGAGTGGCAGAAGGTGGGTCTGGCTCATTCATTATGTCAACTAGCCTATTAAATGATAGACACCAGAGACAATGAACTGCTGGCCAAAGTTTAACATGCACCAAACAGTCTTCCCCAGTAGTAAATAGTTTTCTCTTTTCTCCTGCCTCCCATTGTGCCTCATTCCAACCCCTGAGCAGTTCATTTACAATCTGCTTTTTTCAGTTTCGATCCTGCAGTATTGCTCTGTGAGGGTTCTCTTGATTGCAAAACGATCCAAAAACAAGCCACTTTAGTGTGGATAAATATTGGTTGACAAAGGAATGCAATTACCTTTCCAACACATTTTCTCCTCAAATGTAAGCAACATGTAATTAAAGTTTAGTTTCTTAATCAATTTGGTTAGCATTTTTCAAAAGTTGTTGTTTTAATTGTATACAACTGCAAAATAGGACTTGAATTCATTGTTCGATATAATTCAACTTTACTTTTACTACTTAATTAATTTTATTGTTTTATATAACTTGTAAAAAAAGTTGTTGTGACTGTATTTCACATAATATACACATACTCACAATTTGTAATTGTCTTTCAAATAGCGATGTTTCCACAATCCATATATTTTACATTTCCAGCATTTTTGTTTATTGAGTAACACCAATCAGTTTGTTTAATATTGGTAACTTTTAGGCTTGTTAATGTGCCAGTCAAAACCTATATTTTACATTTATGGAGGGGTTAACCTCCTGGTAGGATATGTAATCTTTGAGATATCCATGTAGCTCCGGGCATTAGACTCAGTCACTTGAATATTTATTTTGTGCCCATCGTCGGTGTAGTGGGGCATACACTGCATATTTGGAGGTTGCAAATGTAAAAAAAGAAAGTTTAATACAAACACACACATGCATGTAGGGATGTTGTGGTACAAACAAATCCAATGAAAAGCTTGTGTAACCTTTCACACTGCAACTAATGATCTTCAGTATCATAATAGGAAGTCCAACAAGAGGGGCGACAGACCCGGACTTTAGGCACAGTAAACAGGCATATCCACACTGGTTGGGGGGTATGGGGGGGGGGGGTGGCAGGGAGCGCCAGCCTGCGCGTGTAGATACCTCATGCTGAGCATGGAAATTGGCCCAGACAGCTCAGCCTATTGTGCGATGGCCAGGGAGCCAAAGGTTGCTTGTAATCAAATTTGAGGTTTTATTCCTCAGACTGGTGGAGAAGGCATAGCGGTCTGTCACATGATGAGTGTTAGCAAGTCTGCGCTATCTACTTTTGTGTAGTGAGTGTGTGTTAACATGCTTCATATAGACTCGTGGCTTTGATAGTCCCCCAAGGGTTTTTGTTTGGTGGAGAGTCATTTGTGCATATGACAGAAAGAAAACAGGAGCTAACCTAGCTATCTGTGCTTTCAATAACTGTATTTGTTTATTCTCTGACTAATGATCTACATGTGGTCAAGTTATTTTTATGTGATTACATTGAGGATGCTTGTTTAGCTTTTTTCTTACAGGAAAAAACATTCTTCTTCTTTAATTATACTTTCAGCATTGAATGGGAAAGTGTAGCTAAAGCTGTTAGAAGCACCTTAGAACTAACAACGCTCCTAAAAGCATAATTTATTCATTTATTCCTAATAATCATATATTTCTCTGTGTTCATCGACATTTAACATGTTTAGATGAACCAATCTCACGTGACTTGTGTGCCGATTTTAAAGGCATTGCTAAGAGCGTATCATCATTAAGATTCACCACTTCGTAATTAGCCAGATTCCAATAGAGCTCTCCAAGAAAGGGAGGTATAATTAGGCTATTCTCAAACAGTAGGTCTTGGAAACACCCTGAAGCAAGTTCATGTGAATGTATTTGATGTCCATCTCTTTTTAGAATTGGAGGGAAAAAAACAGGGGTCCCTTCATTCAAAACCCCCACAATGGCCCTGTTGAAAGCTAGCACTTTGCAGACTTGCTGAGATCCCTTTTCTCTCCTTTTTAACCCCACTAAAGCTCTTAAAAAGATACCGGCCCATTGCACACGCAATTGATATTCCACCACTCGAACTTAATATCGTGAATGGAGGGCCAAGCTCTATGAATCAAGGAGACAATGCGCTTAGCTTAGCAGCAAACTGGCACTTTGTGTGCGGTGTCTGTGCCTCAGAGGAGGAAGTTTCTAATGTGAGCCTCACAATTGTGTGTCTATAGAGTTCTAATGAGCTTCTGTATGCTGAGTGAATGGATGCTGGCCATTCACCATGAGGGCCCAATGAGCCAGCTCACTGCACACATTCACAATAGGATCCAGGGGGAATGGGAGTGTCTGTGTTGAGCAACTGCACTGCTTAGACAGTCCATAAAATATCAGCAATCGTATTACCATGATTCGATTAGAGTTTGTCCATATTAAGTCGGATACATTTAAAAACATCTTTTAACTCAGTTAGAACCCCTCTCTCCATGCTAAGCTTGTGTGTTTCTCATTCATGAAGTACAATCTACTATTTCGCTCCAAAGAGTGGATACATGTTAAATGCCAGCTTGCCTTTTAGTGTGTGTGGATGGAGCTTTTGCAAAACAATGACGTAAGACTGCCCACTCCTTTTTGGGGGGTTGTGCGGTAGTAAACTTAAGAAAAACATAAACGTACGTATCCATATCGCCTCTGCAACATGTTTAAAGTCAAAATCTGGAGTTTTGACATTTAACTGGATATTGTTTGCAAATGATTTAAACATTGAACAATGCTAATTTACCCCAAAAATATAATCTTCATCAAATTTAAACGGCTAGCAAGCAAAGTATACAATATTACACAAATCATATTGTGTATATGTGTATATATATCGTATATGAGAAGGCTGAAAAACATGACATTTTAAGTGAATAATGTTTTTTCACAGTTTCTCTACACTGTTACATATCAATTGTGATATTTTTGTATTACAGGATGACACTGCTCAATAAGTCAAAACTACATATCCTTACCATCAGGGTAAAGACAAAACATTGTTTATCCTTTGAGGCAATGAAGTTCATAGTCTATTCCATCTTGTTCTCTCACTATCTACCTTGTTCCTGCTTGCCCAAAACTGCAGGTCATCTAGTATTGATGTTCCTGGCATGGCCCATGGCCCACTGTCTGTTGTACCTCAGTACTGCTGCACCGTGATACTGTCTGCAATTCACTGCCATGTACACAAGATGGCACTGAGAGAACGAAAAAATCCTGTTTTGCAGTGAACTACATAATGAAATATTATAATCTTTTTGATTTCATTTATAATATAATAATAGCTCCTTGAAATCATTAATTACATTGTATATTACTTTATTTTACATTGCTTATTGTAATATTCTCAACTCAGTTCTTAGAAGTATTGCTTACTATCTGTTTTAGGAATTGTTTTGTGTTGTGTTGTTGTGGTAGTGACAACATAACATTATAGAAAATGTTATCATTAATCAACTTGAATTGTAATGTATACAGTTGTTGAATGTGGAGGCTTACTGCGAGAGTAAATATAAAACATAATTGAGCAGAATGAGTATTATTGAGCGGACGTGTAATGAATAGTTAGAGCCCACAGTTTTTAATTTGACTCATGAATGTCTGATCCGAATGACAGGAAAGGTCGATATAACATGGAATTATGCAACAAATGAATCCCAGGAGAGCCCTGTCTGAACAGACGAGCCAGTTTTTCTGCAGTTCATTCCAATCCTGGCACAGCGACTGCAAGTGGTTTCATTTTGTCTATGGCATTAGTATGTCTATACTGTATGGTGCAGTCATGGCCAAAGTGAACAAGCCTCTGAGAGCTTTGTAATGCATCGCCCATCTGGATCTTTTAGAGAGAGCACTGTTGCCCTGCCCTTGATCTGAGAGAGAATGTGTGTGCGCATAGCAGAAACGTGTTCGCACTGTGTGCCTTTATTACTTTTCGTTCTTGGCTGGGCACATGCTTTAATGACTCTTATTTTCCTGATGGCACTTTAGGAAATGACAACTTGTGGGCAATACAAAGTAATTACATTTCCTGTGTCGGTACCCAGAAGAAATCTAGTATTATTAATAATGAATAGAAGGTTGAAGCGGCCCTCTCACACAGCAGATGTGACACACTGCAGAGTCATGGTCTGCTTTTGTTTTTTTGACAACAGCCACCCATTAGCTTCACAGTGTGGATCTACGAACAACCTATGCGAATTGGAGAGAGATGGGGGCCTATTTGAAAAAAAACAAAACATCCATTTTGCATTTGTAATAATGAAAACAAAACATGTTATTGGCATAAGGGTAAACTGGATTGACGGGAAGGGGAGTATTGATGTAACAATTAAGTTGGTGTTGGAGTCCTTGGTAAGCAGCTGAGCACCACACAGGATATAAAACTGCATATAACTGTATATCCGCTGGCCTCTATTTATTAGCAGAATTAATCCGACCAGCACAGCCAACAAAGACTTTTCCAGTGATCCAGGGATTGGCTGGGGGTTTGTTGTGAACCTGGGATTGCCTCTAATCAGGCCATTATGAAAGAAGGCTTTGATTTATATCCATCTGGCAGTGAATGTATTAGCATTTAGCATTCATGGAAAATGTAGCAGTTTATCCTTGACTGTCTCAGGGAAAAAAAGCAAACACTAGTGTGGCATGGCCGATGATAAAACAGTTATATTTCAAGATGGTAATTGGTCCCATGGATGAAAAAGATGCAGGACGCAACAAATATTCAAAGCACAAAGCATCTGCGCTCTATAAAAAGCCATTAACAAGGCTGAGTCACACAGGCACAAGCACTCATTTTAATTCATCATCCACCTGCTGAAAAGCCAAATTATAACATTACCAAATGACTTAACTAATTATAGTACAAAACGG